AGGTAAAGGTGCAGCCCTGAAATTATGCATTCACAATACCACTAGCAGAAGGTTATCCACTCGAGGAAGCTCAAGAGAACCCCTTGCAGATGATGTTTGGCCTACTCTTCCACGCTGGTCAGATATCTCAGAAAGATGTTTGAGTACTCAAACATTTCCACCAGCAGGACCGTGCTCATCGGCTGCTATAAATACATCTAAACATGCTTTTAGAGTATTTGGCTGCTCTATATTTCCACGTGATAAGCCACTTCGTTGAGCTATCATGTGTGGCCAGGTCGCTGATGAAAATGAACTAATAGCTCAGTGAGCTTTGCCCGGTAAAATTTTGTTTTAGTATATTTATTTATAGTGATTTCTTTACCTTTTCTATAGTTTGCATTCCTATTATATTTTTTGTTGTTGTAACTTTCTGACCTGCCCTTATTTGACGTCTGTGACAAAGAGCTTCATAGCTCATTGGATTTTTCCAGAATAACTAAAGATTCTGATCGGCTAACTGTGGTGACAACCCATTTATACCACACAGGAGGCTGGCGGAATTCGAGAAACTTTCCCCATTCTTTCAACTGCCGTGCTGGGAGATCGAATCGAACTGGCGACTGCGTGTTTGCGAATCCAGCGAGCTCACCAATGCACCGCGGCAACATCCGAGCCATAGGAATCGTCCGTAATTAGGACCCTCTCTCGATCCTTTCTGGTGCCGCTGTTCAAACGATAAATTATGCAGCAATATATAAATACAGTAGTATACATTCTACTGTTATTTCTTCACACGGAGTTATGGTTAGTACTGTACATGTGAAACCCTTGACACAATACGATGACCTGAGGCCGTAGACCTATGACCCTGAAGGTGATGTGGGTTCTTTCCCACGCCACTTCCTTCCCATGTTACTTCATTTTAAATACAAATGGACATCATTCCTTTAAGATGCATTCCGCTTGCATGGATTCATATTACTCTATTAAGGATGGTTCATTGACTCAGTACATCTTCATGCAAAAAGCTATACTTGCAAATATTATGGAGACTTTTGACGCTGAGAAAAATGTGAATAGTATGTACTTCAACGAATTTCGCTCACAAGCTTTACCTGAGCCAGGCTAGCTTTTCTAAAACATAGATAACAATCACATTTTTATATAAAAGTAACAATATTTGATAAAACCACTCGCCCACTCAGCCAGTCTATGTAGTCTAACGCTATTTAATAGCTTTTAAATTAATGATAAACAACAATTTACTATAACTTACGAGGCCTAACACAACACCTTTTGAGATTAGTTGCTTCTCCCACTGCTTGATTAGCTTTTTCCCCCAGCATGTAAAATGTTTACTCTGCTGGATCGGCTATAAAGAGCCATTTTTCTCCTGCTGTTAAGCCGTCCTGATTGATGCTAAAGAGACTATTGGACTCGCAACTCGTGCATGGTCCTCCAAACATGACTCTCTACGTGGCCTGCAAATCACACCTCGGGAGAAATTCCAATATAAACGATCTCCTTATGTAGCCACCCCATGCCATCAGTGCGCCCCTTGCATCCCATTCTCTATGTAAAGTCATACATTCGTTCATGCCCCAAGGTGCAATTAGCAGTACAGCGAGCATAGTATCGCCCTTTTGGATGATTTACGCCTGTCTCAAAAAAACGCACAGCATTGGTACAAATGTTGTTTTTTAATATAAAGTATTGCTCACTCTGTCGAGGGCAGAGAAAGGTTAACTGGATCCGATGCTGCTGTGTTCATTAGCCGCAAGGCATTTTTCTTTTCTACAGATGCAAAGAAATGTAATCACAGGCGCACAATATTGACCTGAGGCCTACTGGATAAATAATGTAACAGCCTTGTATGTATGCTGAATTTCTTTGCACCGTACGTAACCAACTCTGTGCTATTCTATGCCCTGTGTAATTGTGAATTTCTCTGTTACTGTGCCAATTACTACAGATAGTCCTCTACTTACGATGGAGATGCGTTACGACGACCCCATCGTAAGTCAAAAAATATCGAAAGTCGAAGATGGCCTAGCCTACCCAGGAGTCTTAAAAAAATAGTGATAATTTAGCAAAAACAGAGCAATTAACAGTACCGTACTGTAGAAACTATAAACTGTATGTATTTATTAATTATAATACTGTATTATATTTTAAAAAAACAAGTTACAGTACACGCGCTAACACCGAGAACAACTTAACTCCGTCGACCGCTGTTGAGAGTGAGGCATCAACACACAAGACGGGAGATGCGAACATCCCGGCAGCGTACGCAACGTTGCCTGCCGCACGAAATTTAAAATATTTTACAATTTTGTCGTATCGCTATCGCCATCGTACGATCGAGATATCGTAAGTCGGACCATCGTAACTCGGGGACTATCTGTATTATAGAATTTAGTTTGTTTATTACTCATTTTATTATATTGAGAATTCCAAACGCGAAACGTGAAAATTCAGGCCGTATTAAGAGATAGCTGGGTGGACTATTGCTCAGCTCAGAAAGTCTCAGACAGGGTCCTCAAAACGCCAGGCCTCATACCTGTCCATAGTTTAATAATGTACAGCTCTTTCTCAATCCTAAGCTGGATGAAGGCCACCCTGATGGAGGTCACAGCCTCGAAACTAACTCAGGGTTTACACAGTGCAGTGCAATTACTGCTTCGCCACCAGTCTCCCCCAGTATAGTTTAGCTATCCACAGGCAGTCCCCGGGAAGGGTTAGGCTTCCCGAGAACGATCCGTAACCCGAATTTTCCGTATATCATAAACTGAACAATTTCCCCCTAAAAATCAACGATAAAATCCCATAGCCAGAAATAGTTGTGCCTCCTCTACTCGATCACTAGTTTTGTTATCTCTCAGTACTGTATCGCGCTCTCGTGCGTTTTCTATCGTTACCTGTTGCGTATCCGTGTACATACGCTCTGCACTCCCTATGATTCTTACATTTCATTAAATATCTACCCTAACACTACCCACAGTTAAACTAATGGAACATATACTCTATCCAATTGTTTATGAATACCACAAAACATTTTAATATTGTTAACAGAAAGCAGTCACTTTCGAATGTTCGTTTACCGTGCATTAGGCCAGGTTTAGACTTCTCCGATCGCTGTTGACCGAGACCAAAAGCAATCAAAGTATAATTGTGTTAAATAAAGTACATACAATAAATAACTCGTGAAATAAACTTAAAATGAAGAAAACTAGCAATAGAAACAGAGGGGGAAAAATAGTTCTAAGCACAGAAAACAAACACTTAGGTAATGCAGAGCAGCTATTAACCATTGCCTTGGGGAAGATGCTGCCCGCCTTACACCTTGCTCCGCAGTATACCACTTCAACCTCACCGCGCTCCACTACTTACGCTTACGTAACTAACGCAAACATTTCCGATTTTTTTACATGATTTATCAGAGCATTTTCGTAATGTCGGATTTCCATAAGTCGGGTATTCCGCAACCCGGGGACTTACTGTATTTAATTTTCTTTACCAATTATCAAATGTGCAAAAGATTTAGACACTTAATTGGAATTTTATTAGCAGACTGCCAAGTCGACAAAAGCCGGCCAAATAAAACAAATGCAGGCCAAGGTGGACACGATAACTATATTTTTGAAACCCATGGGATAATTTACAGCATGACAGTGTGGTTGGTTGAAGATGAGTTTTAATATACTGCAGACATAATAAGACAAGAGCGTAGACTACCAGATTTATGTGGACATTAAAGAGGGTCTTTATGTGCCATTGTCATGAAAACCAAACATGGGGTATTGCTTGTAGTGGATAAATTCACATTTCACCCTTCACAATACATAACAACATAGCGCTGAGCCAGGACAGAAACCTCTGGGACAAAACTGCTCCATGCAAATATTTCGCACATAGATGATTATGGTGATGGATGATAATTCTATATATAGTTCGATAAAATTATGCTGTTATAAATAGATTTGATCAGTCTTGGGGTCTAATTATTTTCTAAAACCCGTTTAATTTTAATCACAATACTTAATGCAAAGTATAATTTTACATTTTCTCAGTATGCTTTCATTGTCCTCTAAATGTGTGAAACAAATATGACTACTAGAGTAATGTTTGGAATTAAATGGAAGTAAAGTAATCGCATTTAATCTGCATGCTGATTAAATTTGAATGTAATTTAAATAAATATCGCATACAGTAATATGGGTAGAGGTTGATTTTAATGACGCGACTAAATATGGGAAGATGCCGTCGTGTTCATGGTTAGCACATGGGACGTGTAATCATTCTTCCAGCACAGAAGTTGAAAAAACGAGGCAACTTTCTTAAATCTCCCCACTTTTATCAACACAGCAGTATAAACGAGTACACTAAAACTAAACTATTTTATTTGACCACGGTAAGGCCCATTGAGCTATATGACTCTTTTTAGTCCACTGGCCACAAATTAAAGCTCAACGAAGTGGCTTATCACGTGGAAATTTATAGCAGCCACATACTCTAAATGCGTGTTTCTAAATGTGGAGGGAAATACCGGAGGACCTAGAGAAAAATCCACGCGCTCACGGGGAGAGAGACACGCAAACTCCAAATATACAGCAGGCGTCAGGGTCGGGATCGAACCCACGACCTCCTCCATACCAGGCGAGGGAGTTAAAAAAACGGCCGGTCACATGTCGTGGAGTGAAGTGTCGGTGCTCTGGCCTCTTGGAAAAGCTTCTGGTCTGAAAGAGGAGGCCAAAATGCCCTTGAGTGGAGGCACCATCTGCCAGTAGTGGTGTGACCAAGAAATTCTAGTGGCTGCACCTTAACTGTTTTGCATTTAGTTTGTTGTCGTTGCCCCCGCACCTCCGATGAGCACGGTTTGCCACGTACGGTGCAAAAGAAGCTCAGCATACATACACATACTATGGAAGGCAAATGCTCTAGAGTAGTAGTTGTTGCTATTGGTGCTGCTATATCAAACAGCAAGATCATATTGGCCTCTTCCTTTCATTGTTCTGCAGGTGACAGCATTCCAAACCCTGTTCCAGAGACAGACCAAGAACTAAACTGTGTTATCACGGCCAAGATAGAAGGTAAGCCCCGAACACGAGGGAAGACTCTCGACATTCACACCTTTCATAGCTCTAATCTGATTGCCATTTAATCGTGTGGCCATAACAGCTGTGAACATATATATATAACACTCTCTTCAACATTACTGGTTGGAAGCAAAATTTCACAAGAGACCTATATTCGGTCCATATTTTGTGCACAAAATGTAGTTTTATCTTTGTTGATGCCACCAACAAAGATACTGAGATGCCAAAGCCAACGTCAGCTTAGTAGCTTAATCCGACAGAATATTGCTTTAACTATTGAACTTAGTCAAATTAATATCCATACACACGAGTAAAAAAAACATGTTGTGTCTGCAAGTCCATTGTATAATTGCTAAGATGAAATCAATTGTAAGCTGCAGTAATACTATATCTCAAATCGGCGGTTTTTCAATCATCAGGCATGGTCAATCCACTACTCAACAAAGACCTCACCATGCTGCCACCATACTTCATGATCCTGCAATGGTTCTTGTAACGCTCAGTATATCATTCACCGATTCTTATTAATCGAAGTACATATACAAATATCTACATTTAGTCAATTGTATGTATATTTTTTTTATGTTCAATTGCTAAAATGGAATTGCATGCAATAATAAAGTCAAATCTTCTTCAGGCAGCCAATTAGCGTGGCAGCAGAGCATTCTGTTCGGTTGTGTTTACTGTCGGAGCCTTACCGCGTGGTGTGTTTACGGTGTTTTGTTGACAGAAATTTCAGCTCAGATAGTGGAGAAGGCGAAGGCCGGGGCGGTGGCCTTTTTGGTTGGCGAGGGTCAGAAGCAAACGGAGCGGGCGTCGGCACACCGGGTAGCGGAAGCTGGTGAGATGACGCGTCACCCCTTGCGACGCACGCACGCACGATCGCAGCAGCAGCAGCACGCGCGCTAACGAGCCAAGATGTTTCATCCTGTGCTGACAAGCGGAGAGTTCTTTTGCTGGTCTACAGAGACATCTGTTATAGGAGGAGAGTGGGCGCGCACGGATGATGACAATTCGCAATATTAAACTCTTAATTAAAAACGATCGTGGTCATTGGCTAAGAGCGTTGTTTAAATGTTGAAATGCTGGCCAAGAAGCATTAGAATAAACACAATTGGAATTTGGAATAATCATACAGAAGTTGTGACAAGAAACAGTTGATTTTCATGCACAAACCACATATCTTGTATATATCACACTCATTGTCAAGAAAAGCAGATGGGCATTCGCGGGGAATGGCAGATTTAAAAACCGTTCCCCCGATTCTGCCGTGGTGGCGAGATGTTAACTACCTCGCCTAGTATATGAGAGGTCGTGGGTTCAATCCTGACCCTGACGCCTGTATATTTGTAGTTTGCATGTCTCTCTCCCCATGGTCGCGTGGATTTTTCTCCGGGTCCTCCGGTTTTTCCCTCCACATTTATAAACACGCGTTTAGAGTATTTGGTTGCTGCTATAAATTTCCACATTAATAAGCCACTTCGTTGAGCTATCATTTGTGGCCCGGTCGCTTCTCAAAAAGAGCTATACAGCTCTGTGGGACTTACCTGGTAAAATAAAACAAATAAACAAACGCTGAACAAATCTAGTGACGGAATTATTAACACACTTAGAGTTGGAGATTGAACAAATTATTTGGTTAGATGTAAATTTGAGATCGTATCTACACTTGACAGGGGTCAAGAGGATCAACAGTAAGGGCTCTCTTTTCTATCGATAATTTGAGAATAGTTGATGACAAATATTATTACAAACAATTTCTCCCTGATAGCTATAATTCATGTACAGTTAAACTTGTGATGGCAATGCTAAAGTCACTGTAAACTTTAGCGATACATAAGATTAATCTTACAACTGGATATGCTGTTGGCGGTTTTGTGATTTAATATTTTCCACTGTTCTGTGCATTGCATTCAATACCGTTAGGTCTGCGTTAAACGTGTACCTGACGTGTTGATTTGAGTACTTTGTATGAAAATAGCCTGAACACTTTTGCAGTACAGCATGCTTTAGACAGTCGTGGTGCTGTATTTAGAAAGTGCAGATAACAGCCACCATAGAGGCATCTGATGGCAGAATTTCGTTAGGACTGCTGGTGCTGCAACAAAAACAAACAATAAAAAAAGCAAACGCCCAGCTTAGCGAACTCCAGGAGCTAAATTGTGCTGGCGAAACGATCACATTGACAATGAAACATCGCTGTGCTTGCTGTCACAGTAACTGTGTCCACGTTGGCATCTAATTGGCTCATTGTGTGCAGATCACCAACCCTCATCTGCTGGCACTGTCAGTCCACCAGCAGCAAAAGCATCATCAGCAGCATCGCGGGACAAGTCAAAGAAAGGTAGAAATTTGCTCGGAGAAAATCGCACGTCATTTCAAAAGCCAGTGGCCGTGTGTGGCCGCTTGCGACCGAGGGCAGTTGACATGGGGAGAGTGCCTCGCGAGTAAACGTCTTCTGTGCGGTGACACCAGCTCACACACTGGTGATTGGGTTAAATCCCAGACACAATGGGGATTACATCGAATTGCAGTCACGGTGAATGGGAATAAGTAGCAACTTGAAAACCGTGTGCTGATGACCACTGGATGAACTTTCGTGAGAAGATTGGGTTAATTCAATCAAGTCGTCAATCTTCTGTGCCGTTACGTTGGATAAGAGCTGGGAAGATAGGCATCTCATTTGGAAAAAGGCGTACACACCAGCAAGGCTTATTGCTTTGCGTATTAAAAATGTGCTGGTTGTGTGCAGTACAATGATAATGGAAAATACGGTAGAGAAGGAAAAAAAACCCACAGCTGTTTGTGCAGGGAAAAAAATAACTGAGCATAATGGTAGTGTCATGTGGTCTGAAGTAAAACATCTTACCTTTGATGTTGATCTACATAAGTCCAAATTACAAACCAAGGTTACGGGGGTTTTTCAAGGATTGCAAAACCCCTTGCATCCTGGATTATTTGTCCGTTCAGTATGTTACATAGAGTAGTGGTAATAATAATATTATAATACAATTTCTAATGACCGTGACTCCATTTGTGTGCGTAAGTAAGATTCAGATATATGTCTTTGAAGTGTAGAGGCAATGGTAAATTACCCCGCAACAGAATTGATTTCTCCATGGCCACCACTTACGCCTGCATGCGAAACAGCAGCCCCGTTGCTGACACTTTGCAGATCGTTAATGTTTCTCGTACAGTGGCACCATGTGATTGTACAGTCATTGGGGTCCCGAACTCTGCCTCGGGCTTTTTTCAGCAGTGACCCACAACGATTGCAGGTGGCTACATTTACACGAACGCGATGCTGATGCATAATGCATGCCATGCTGCTTCACAGCGGTACCATTCGGAATAACCATCCACCAATTAGTATGCGCCGTGTTGGATGTCAGGAGCATGTCCTCTGCCCGAGCATTCTCCTGCTCAGACGCACTTGTCTCGGGGTGCAGTCCATGTCACAGAAGACTTCAAAACTGTGGTCTTCTTTGTAGGGTGAGTAGGTCAACCAATGTTTTCAGATGACTAAACTCAGGTGGTATTAACGGTGATCTGTAGAGTTGCGGGTTAAATATCGTCATTGAAATGCCACCGAATGGTGACTTTAAAGAAATATTTGGTTGGGAAATTCGGCCGGAGAAAATTACCATCTTTTTTTTATCCCCACCATTCTTGCAATTATGGTCGATACCAGTGTGAATAGCTCCACTTTGATACAAATATTTGGCAGGGTCAAGGTGCTCTAAGTCTAGTTTAACATATAGCCTCCGTAAGGCCAATTGATGTATATATATTTTTTTAAAGACCTGTTTGTTAACGGTCACATCTGGCAAAAGCCAATGTGTGGATATAGATAACGCGTGTCAGATCATTGAGCTCCATCGTCTGCTCTCTGTTCTGTGTATAAACGAGCATTGCATTAAATTTTGACTTAAAACTTTCGTGACTGCAGGAATTAATATTCTTTGGTTCTTTCGGTAAAGTCAGATAGATAGAAAAAATATAATAAAAATTAAAATTATTTAAAAAATAATGAAAAAAATAAAAAAAACATTAATGTAGACTGTAGCCTGGTTCTTAATCAGAGTGAGTGTACTGGCAGTGTATAATGTAGACTAGCCTGGTTATTACGTTTGGTGAGTGTACTGGCAGTCTATAGTGTATACTGTAGTAATGGTTATTAAGCTGGGTGAGTGTACTGGCAGTCTATAATGTAGACTGTAGCCTGGTTCTTAACTGAAAGAACCAAGAATAAGTCTACATTATAGACTGCCAGTACGCTCACTTAGGTTAAGAACCAGGCTACAGTCTACATTATAGAATGCCAATACGCTCACCAAGCTTAAAAACCAGGCTACAGTCGACATTATAGACTGCCAGTACACTCACCGGGGTTAAGAACCAGGCTACAGTCGACATTATAGACTGCCAGTACACTCACCCAGCTTAATAACCATTACTACAATCTACACTATAGACTGCCAGTTCACTCACCAAACTTAATAACCAGGCTACAGTCTATATTATAGACTGCCAGTACACTCACTCCGATTAAGAACCAGGCTACAGTCTGCATTAATGTTTTTTTGTTTTTTATAGCTACAAAAATATATATGTATTAACTTTTTTATTATTTTTTTTCTCTTCTATCTACGTGACTTTACCGAAAGAACCAAAGAACATGAGCATTGCATTGTGGGTGAAAGGTATGCGACTTCTGGTGGAAGGGCCTCTGCTAGATGGAGCTCTAGAGCCCTTATGGAAGATATTTGGCCTACTCTTTCATGCTGGCCTGACTCGTCTTGGAAGAGGTTGGAGAACCCACATGTTACCCAACCACATGCAATCTGAGCCCGTCCAATACTAGAGAGAGAGAGAAGAAGCAGAGACACAGAGAGGAATATAATACAATACAGCGTAGATAACAAGCCAACAAAACAGTCAACACTCTACCTGGCTGATTACGTTCCTCTAAGGATTGCTAAATTTAAGAGAGTGTATTATATTCCTCTCTGTGTCTCTGCTTCTTCTCTCTCTACTTATATGTCTGTTTTTTGTGTCTCACTTAACCTATAATTTAGCAATCTTTGAAATAACGTAATCAGCCAGACCATGCGTTGTGTTTTGACCGACCCTCTGTGTTGCATTATATTGCTTCCAAATTTTACTAAATCTTGTTCGATTTGATGTGCTTCTCCATCTCTCTTTGTCTAAGGCCTCGGCACAGAGACCCTATCTCTCTGTGCTCCGTACGTTGTTTCTCTCTTTGTGTCTCTGTGTTAACTCCCTCTACTTAGGTGTCTGTATATATATCTGCGGTTCTGTGTTTCCTCTCTCAAATTTAGCTCTTCTATGCCTGATGACGATTGTTTCCGTTGCAATCGAAACGTCGTATGCTATTATGTAATTTTATTATTTCTTATTTCTACGTGACTTTACCGAAAAAACCAAAAAGTAATTCCTGCAGTCACGAAAGCGACAAATCAAGTTTGACTTTTGCATTGTCGGTGTGGTGTTCACATCGCCACATTAACAACCCAGAGCATTATGTAGCACTCTGAAAAACGTCTTATAACTCGCTAAACTCTTAGTAATTAAAAAGTATCATTTGTATTTATCACATCCATAACTGCAAGATCCCAACAGTATTAGCAATTACATATTGTTTACATTTAAAGTGTCATAGATAGACCCGTGTTCCTGATTTATATATAAAACTAGCGGGAAGTACCTGCCGTTGCCCAGGGAAAAAATATATATTTCAAAACTTTTCTTAAAAACAACATATACATACACAAGTACTAAGCTATTGAGAAAGCCCGGCGTTCCGTTTGTCCATTTGTCCATCAACAAATTTATAATAGGTTTGAAGAAGTCCTGAATCTAAAAGTAATAGAAAGTGGCGGGTAAATAGTTGATCTAGAATGTTTCCGAAAATTGTTGACCTCTCCCCCCCCCTCAAAAAATTATGTTTACCCCCCTGTAGGCATATATACCTACACACCTTACATACAATAGAGTGGTATCTAGTGACTCTATAGTAGTATCTGGCTCTACAGGAGTATCTATTGACTCTATAGTAGTATTCACTCACAATAGTAGTATCTGCTGATGCTATAGCAGTATCTACTGACAGCAGTATATACTGACTATAGTGGTATCTACTGACTGTACTATTGTACTATTACTATACTATTATCTACTGACTCTATAGTAGTATCTACCGACTCTACGGTACTATCTACAAACTCTATAGTAGTTTCTATCGACGCTATAGTAGTAACTACCGACTATAGTAGTATACACTGACTATACTAGTAACTACTAACTCTATAGTAGTATCTGCTTACTATATAGCAGTATCTATTTACTCTATAGTAGCCTCTACTGACTCCACAGTAACATCTCCCGACTCTACAGTAGTATCTACTGACTCTACAGTAGTATCTATTGACTCTACAGTAGTATCTGCCGACTCTATAGTCGTAACTACTGACTCTATAGTACTATCTAGTGACTCTACAGTAGTTTCTATTGACTGCAGTAGTATCTACCAACTCTATAATATGATATAACGACTCTATAGCAGTAGCTACTAACTCTACAGTAGTATATATAGTAGTATATACAGACTATAGTAATATATACTAACTCTATAGTAGTATCTACCGACTCGATAGCAGTATCTACTATCACTACAGTAGTATGTACTGGCTATAGTAGTAGCTACTATCACTACACCAGCTTAAAAAACAGGCTACAGTCTACATTATAGACTGCCAGTACACTCACCGAGGTTAAGAACCAGGCTACAGTCTACATTATAGACTGCCAGTACGCTCATGGAGGTTAAGAACCAGGCTACAGTCTACATTATAGACTGCCAGTACACTCACCAAACTTAATAACCAGGCTACAATCTACATTATAAACTGCCAGTACACTCACTCTGATTAAGAACCAGGCAACAGTCTACATTATTGTTTTTTTGTTTATTATTATTCTTTTATTTTTACTATTTTATTCACTTTATTTATTATTCTTTTTCAATCTACGTGACCTTACCGAAAGAACCAAGAATATAGTACTTACTTTTAAGTGCCGTGGTGAGGCCTAGTCTCGTGCAGAGCCCCCGGCCTCGCCTAGATTGCCCAGCCGGCCGAGGTGGCACCTTGGCAGGCTGGGGCTGAGCCGCTACCCTCCCCACCACCATCCCCCCGCCCGCTCTACAGTAGTTATTTATGGACTATAGTAGTAGCATCTACCGACTCTATAGTAGTAACTGCACACATTGGGGTGGTGAAGGGGAGTAGAGGACATGACAGTGTGAAAATTGTACCTCAGTCCTGTATTTTTTTTGCATTTTGCACGCGAATTGAAAAATTCCCCCCTCAACCGATCGCATGTGTGCGTTGCTAGGGGCAACCATGGGTCAGCTTTGTCGCGCATGCACAGATGCGTCCTTTCGTGCACGCTCAGCATAGTAATATCATAATTAAGAGTACTAAATTGTTAATGTAACTACTTTAAAGTTGACGGATGCGAAATACGAATAGCGCTGGCTCACCACGGGGCTTATCGCGTGGTACCTGGGTACTTAAAAAATAAGTAAACTCCACGGTTCACGAGTCAAATCCGTCACAAGTTGCGTACCAGACAGACAGACACAAAATTACTTTTATAGGTAAGATGTCTAGTATGCAGAATATATTCAATCATGAAATGATGCTTCAGTCATTCTCTTCCAAGAGGATGGTGCAATCTTGATTTGAAGAGGATGGTGCAATTTAGTTGAACTACAGACACATTCGCCATTTTTGCACATGCATATATAAACCAGAATGCTGAAAAACGTACAGGCCAACCAACCACAGGGGCAAGCAGGGTTTGGGAAAGGTTTCTCTACCATTTATGGTATTGATACTGTCAATCAGATCCTGAAAAGGACTATCGAATATCAAATACCATAATGCCTTGTTGACTATGAAATGGGATTTGACTCAGTGGAATTACACGTTCGTCCATGTGCTAATAAACAAAGGCCTAAATAAAAATAAAACAAAATGTTTAGAAACATTAAAACTACTTGCAAAAATGTCACGGAACAGCGACACGGAGATTGTCCAAAGAAGTTATTTATCGAGACCTTATTCATAGCGGCCACAAATCTGCTAAACGATTGAGTATATTTGTTGGAGGGATACAACTGGAAAGCACAGCAGAGTATGAGCACCTGTGGTAGTTATGGAAGGCGGACTGGAATCAAACTAGTTGAATAAATTGGCAGAAGAGAGCAGGTTGGAGTATTTTTGGAAAACTGAACTCAATAATGAATTGCACCTTACCAGGGAGCCGATGGATAACTTTTTTTTTTATTTGTGTATATACCTTGCTACGTCATGGATCAAAAACTTGGGCATTGTCGAAGAATATAGGATCAAAGCTGAAGAGTGTATTCAGTTTGGAGATGTCGAAGTTTAGAACTGTTACCATTACAGACAGGAAGCGGAACTCATGGGTTAGGGAACAAATGCTAATTAGAGACATCATACTCACTGTGGTGAGTAGAGACATCATACTGTGGTGAGTAAAGACATCATACTCACTGTGGTGAGTAGAGACATCATACTGTGGTGAGTAAAGACATCATACTCACTGTGGTGAGTAGAGACATCATACTCACTGTGGTGAGTATAGACATCATACTCACTGTGGTGAGTATAGACATCATACTCACTGTGGTGAGTATAGACATCATACTCACTGTGGTGAGTATAGACATCATACTCACTGTGGTGAGTATAGACATACTCACTGTGGTGAGTAAAGACATCATACTCACTGTGGTGAGTATAGACATCATACTCACTGTGGTGAGTAGAGACATCATACTCACTGTGGTGAGTAAAGACATCATACTCACTGTGGTGCACCGGGAAGATAGTCGGTGTTTGAGGCTCATGGTTGATTGGCAGCCAAAGGAGGCAACGTTGATTTTTTTTATGATGAAGATTACTGTACTTAAAACTAAAAGTTTAAATTAGTATATAAACATTAAATGTACACTGCTATACTTCTTTCGCACCATACTGTACATAGACAATCGTGCTAATCGGAGGTGCTGGACGATTATGTAGCACATACTTGAATCTTTCTTTGGGTTTATCTTGTCAGAAACGTCATTATATTCAGTGACATGTCTGTGTGACAAAAGACGTCATCGTAATGTGCAGGTAGTACTGCATGTACCTTTAATTCTAGTGAACACCATTCACTAACATTTATTACATTTAGTTTGTATGCGTTGAGAACAAGGTTTTATTGTGTGATGCCGCTTCTACTCTTTAACATTTCTAATCAAGCTTCAACTAACTCCTGTGAAATGTTTTCCTTCTCTCTCTCTCTCATATAATTTCCCGTTACAATTTTGTTGCTTTTGACTTTTATTTACTTGTACTACTTGTAGATAAAAACAGTCACTCAACAAACAACCCTTTTAAGGTGGTGACCTGTCGTACGGAGGGGAGAGAAGACGCCTCAGTGACGGCTAACATGAGTCTCAATGGCAAACAAAGCATAGAGGCTCCTTCGTCCGCCACGGACGGTCAAGAGGACAAAAGGTTTGATGGTCCGTGCGGCGTTCCATCAGGGCAGGAAGTGAGTAACGATGCCAAGCGTTGCAGTGAGCAAGCGGACGCGCCCTCCAGGCTCATCGAACCGGTGGATTTCACCAAAGGTCACACTTCACCATCGGTCAGTGGCAAGGACAAAAGCCGCGATGCACAATTTTCAGAAATCGACAGTTCGCAGTCGAACGCTCGGTCTGACGAATCTAAACAGTTCGCTCCCGAGCGGAGTAGCACTCCCCAGCAATTGACCAGCACGGGCACGTCCGAAATCCCTCCAATCCCGGCGACAAGGGACGTCCACGCTTTGCAGCTGCGCAGGGAGTGTTTTCAGGGCGCCGATGAGGCGTCCGAGAGCTCTGCAAGTCCTCGCATGCTCATGGATGGGAAAGCAAAACCCTCGCCGCACACGGAGAGCAAAACGGGTTGCAAGACGACAGCACCTGGTGACGTTGCAAAAATGCCGGACGTTATACCTGATGGGCATACTGACGACAACAGTTGCGCACACTCCATTGCAGATGATGTCATCCACAAAGGTCAGCAGGCAGCGCTGATGAAGGAAGCTCACCATTCCTTTGACGCTTCGTCTTTTTGGCCGAACGATATAGCAGAGCCTTGGGAGGAACAGCGACACGAACACGGACACCATGACCATTCTTGCAACATGACGGCACAATTGAAGATGGAGACGATTAGCGAGGATGATTTTTCAGGAGGGAAGAGCGATAAGACCGACGTAGGTAAATATTCCGCGGATGCACAAAACCTGACTGCAGGCTGCACCGACACAGGCTTTGGGAATGTTCCAATGAACGAAACATCGGCGAAAAAAAGTGCCTTTTTGAGGGCAAACACCATGCCGCACTTTTACGGGTCTGAACCTGGCATAGAAAAGTCTGGAATGGGGGGCTCTGTTGCTCGCAGTGAAAATCAACCACTCCCATCTTCGTTGGGAAAGCCCCAAATGGGTGATGGTCAAAAATTAGGGAGGCAGATGTCAGAACAGTGCTTTGGGCAGAAGTTAGATATCTACTACAAAGACTGTGCTAAGCCCCCTGACTTTGATTCTAAACCATTTGTTTTGGCTGATTATAAAAGAAAAATGGATACCAGAGAGGAATCGCGGATGAATGCTGACCCCATACGTGAATTGTTGTCAGGCGGTTTAGGCATTTCAAGTGAGCCGGGCACTGACAATTCTAGCAGTGCTCCACAAGAAGGGAATAAGGAAGCTAAGTCAGGTGAGAGCATAAGCTCTCTGCAGGAAACAACTGTTAATACACGTTCTCCAAAGCACCTTGAAACCACAGATGTGCCCACTGGCTTTGTATGTGCTGAGCAGAAAAAAGGCCCCAGTATCCTGGACAGCGAAGAGCATATCGAGCAGATGGAAGCACTGCAACAATGCATTGGGAAGAATGCATTGCATAGTCCAGGAAAGGCTAACATCCACGAAAAGGTTTCAAGAAAATCAGTTGAGTCTTCGGTCTGTCGTGGCAACACTCCAGGAACCTCTGTGGAAAGTGAAAAAAAGCAAGATACATCTGAAATGAAGGTGGGAAAAACTGGAAATGAACAAACATTGACAGGCGATTTAGAAACGAGTTTACACATCAAGAAAGATGACGCACCTGCTGATGGTGCGGTAAGGTCAATGCATTCATATTTACTTGAGGATAAATCCCAACCGAAAATACCGAGCATTTCAGAATATTCTGTGGCATCCAAGTCATCAATTTCGCAGCTTAAATCGGATGAGTACGCACCAAAAGCAGTGGATTCGGAGTCTGACGTTAGCTCAGAGGATGAGCTACAATGCAATGTAGGAAAGCAGCCAGGAGCTGTGTTATCTGAAGGCTTCCTAAGCACTGAGGTCAAGGCCGATGCAAAAAAGTCACCTGCTTACCACAGCCTTTCGAGACTGTCTCCACTGGAGACGGAAATTTTGTCTGAACTGCAGGACAACGAAGGCAGCAACGACCAATTCTCCGGCGCTAGAAAAAAGGTGACGTCAGAGGGGGCACAAGAGAACGTGGCCTTTGACACGGAGAATAAATCACAACGGAAAAATGATGGCTCCAGCGGATTTCAGTTCCAGCACATCGCGCAAGACGAGGGTTCATCGCTTCCCTTTGTTTTTCCAGCAAAGGGGCAAATGCACAACGTGGAATACTTGGAATTGAATTCGGCAGCTTTGAAGCCCATCGCTGGCTCCGCGTATTTAAAGGAAGATGACTCGCGCATGCCAGAAAAAAGCGTTCCGTTAAGCAAAAACCTGAAGGACCCTCATCCAACGGGTGAGAGCGTCTCATTTTCCAAAGAACAGATGCCTGGACAGGACATTATTTCAGCTGATGAGAATAAAGAGGGAGCAGGAGACTTCGCTGACCGTGGAGGACCTAATAACATTTTCAGTTCTCCTTTAATGAAGTCGGACCTTCCTGTGCTCAATTATCGAGATGATGATTATCACCCCGCCGGTGTTTTATTCGAAAATGTTACGTCTGGGAAACCTCGAGCTGCAGATAAACCTGGGAAGATAAAATACTCACAAAGTGTGGATGTTAACACTGCATTGTGCCGAAATGACCGCTCATTTGAAGGGGGTGAAGAATCCTACCTTTTCCCCTGTGGTCCCAGCAAGAATCATTTGTCGGTGGTGGGTGAATTAGACAAAACCTCTCATGTGGCACACACATCCCCTTCATCATTCAAAACGGAGGAGCGCTGCCAGGCATCAATTGTGGAAAACGCAAACCAACGTCATGATGGAGGATCTACAGACAAAGTCACAGACTCTCAAGATGTACTTGCTGATAGTTCGACACACGCAACCAATATTTCACCTGCGCTTGGAATCACGAAGTTTGGCAGCGAAATGGACGTGCCCAACAAAATATCAGCGCAAGTAAACGCAGACGAGAGTCCTAAACATGCACGGGTAGAAACCACGTCACGTACATCACACGCTGATAACATTCATCCTTTTGAAAGCAAAGAGCAGCACCAAGAGATGGAAAACAAGGAGGCATGCCGATCCTCGCAGGCAAGTGTCGTGGGTAAAAATACCGCAGAACACGAGAAAGCTGGAGACAGCCAACGAGTGCACGGGAAATTTGACGGAGAGCAAGTGGAAAAGATGAGCCTGGAAATCATGCAAGGTACCGGTTTTAACGTCTACATTAAGATGTTTCTAAAATGTAAAAGTATTGGTTTTAATATCTACCTTTATTTGTTTTCTAAAATGTATTCTCTACATTCCGTGTTGACTGTATAGATAACGCTCACAAATGACAGTATTTGGCTGCTATATATTTCTACATGATAAGCCACTTCATTGAACTATCATTTGTGGCCAGGTCGCTTCTAAAAAAGAATGATATAGTTCAGTGGGGCTTACCTGGTCAAATAAAAATAGTTTCATCGTTTAGTTTATAATTTGCTAATATAACGTTTTCTATTTTCTTGTAATATTGACACCTTTCCAGTGAAATTCGTGCATTTAATTTGTTGTTTAATCCTGTTTTCCTGACTGGCCGAGGCTTATAGACAGCGAAAAATTAATTAAGCAACATTAATGCGGGCTAATTCTTATCGAACGATAGATAATATTGCGCGCAATACATTTTCCATAAAAAATGACAATGGTTATGTGGCAATAGGAAATTTAAACTGGCGTTTTCACGACCCAATACATAGCATGTAGCGCTTATGGCGGTATATTTAAAATCAACAGCAATATGTGAAAATGGCATGGTGTGGACCAGTCAGTTTCAAGGACAATGCATATATTATCAGAGTATGTTTTTTGTTTGCATTCTGACCACAAGCATTGTGGTTAATGCAGACATGATTCCTTGTAAAAGGTTTCAGTTTGGTGTTTTAACATCTTAACACCTGTTTTATTGTGAGACATCACAATTGTACTAATTGTTGCCTGAAGAGTTAATTTTGTGTATATTTTACGTCGCTGAGGGGGCCTCCTTCAAGTTACCAAGCTGTTTGCTTTAACACGTCGGCTTTCGCGAGCAATATGATCCATAATAGAGGCTTTTTGGGTTAGATCGCGGAAATATATAAATGTGTCGTTAAAACCCGCCACCACCCAATACAGCCAACTAGTAAGGGTTGTCACGTAAACAGAACATACCAATTCGTCATTAGTACAGCACACCGGTGTGTTGGAGAGCCAAGCCATTTATAATCTGAGTACGACGTTTCGCCAGTAATTACAACTAGCTTCATCAGGCGACTGCCAGATTTGTGGAGAAGTCCACCTGTTTCGTTTCGTTCCTGATGTATCAAGCTGTGTGCGTTACCGTGTGTAAAAGTGGAGCTGAAAATTACTTTCTTCCCTTGCCTGTTGTTGTCCTACATTGCTAGACAAAAGCACAGCAGATGAGACAATCCCTCCGCAAAGCACCGGGGAGCCAGACAGCCACGTGGACACTTCTGGGACTGCTCCGGCAACAGGTGCACGCGATGCAGGAGGGAAGAGGGCAGAGGAGCCATTAGGAGGCGAGGAAAGGAAGGAGGCAGATGACAAGGCTTCAAGCGTTGTGCATGAAGAGGAATCTCTGAAGAGTCCAAAAGCAGGGGCAAACAAGGCAACGTGCAGGGCAGATGCCCTGCACGAACGCGTTCCCGAGGAGGGCGAACACCTCGTCAAAGCCGATGCCGATGGACGTGGGGAAAAGGTTTCGACCAAAAAGGAGCAGCTCCCAGTCACGGGAAAAAACTCTCTAATTGAGAGTCAACAGAAGTCTGGGGTGGATCAGAAGGCAAGCGGAGGGGGCGTGCAGGAGGGCGGGATGGAATTGGTCCCGGATCGGGAGAGGAGGAACAGCAAGCCACTGGAGAAGAGGTCGTATACGAGCACGCCGGAGAAAGACAAGCAGGAGAAAAAACGGAGAAAAGGTTTCCAATCACACAAAGAGTAATCCCAGTCATGTTGCTACCCGTGAAAAGAAATCGGTGTTTGTGTGCGGCATAGTCAGAACCACGAGTTGTGGAACTTGAGACTTGCCAGCCTTTGTTGTGCATTCTGCTTCGTCGTAATGAAACCATTTAGAGGTATCCCGAGTGCATTGAATTTAAGTTTACCCTATTTACTGCTTACACATTCACCACACTTAACGACCGCTTGCGTGCTTGTGCTTACATTACAGCTGCGGCTGACACATTAATTATGTAGCTGTGTTTACAACACAGAGAGTGACACACGCTCTAAACGCTCTGCGCTCACCCTCCCCCCCAGGGTTGCCACCTGCCTGTGTTTGACCCGGACATTCCAATAATTTGGCATCTGTGTTCGGGTGCCACGAATTGTATTGTACCGAGATCTGGTGGTAATCACTTTGAACTTCAACACAGTCGACTGCACAGTTCCGATCGATCGTCAGTCCAGGGGTCGGCAACCTGCGGCTTTGGAGCAGTATGATGGCTCTTTGGCTGCCCCCTAGCGGCTCTTTGGCTGCTGTGTACCTGTGTACATGTGTGTGTGTGGATGGGTACAATTGGCTTCTGCGTGCGATGCGGCTCTCGAAATATTTTGGTCAAAGACAAAAACTTAAAAAAATGGGCTCCGCTTCTTCTTTGAAAGGTCGCCGATCCCCTGACCCTAGACTGACTGAGAAATACGTTCGGATTTGGTCTACGGTAGAAAAGGTGGCAACCCTTATTTCCTCCAACTAACACGGACGCTTGCAAAATGTGTTTGTCCTTTGATTTATTTTGCCCTCTGTGCACTGACCCCTTAACCGCCTGCCTGGCTTGGCAGTGAGTAAGAAGGGGGATGTGGCTAAGAGAGCCGAGGTGCGCTGTAGGTCCCCCGGCAGGCCTGCTAACAGGAGCCAGCGGGCAATGCTGCAGGGTTCAGCCAAAAGACGGCAGAAAGGTGACGTGCCTGGCGCATGTGCCTAGCCATGTGTACCCTTGCGTGTCAAGCCTGTGAACATACACATGCAGTCTGTCCTCTGATTTTTCACATTGTGTAAATGTCCGTGGTTTATATGCTCTATTTTTTTTGTTTATTTGAAGCATGACACTCCACTTGTGCACAATACCTTTCCGTAAAATATTTCTGTTTTTCTCGGTCTTCCCTCAGCACCACGTACACTCCTTGACCTTACTACCGATGGGCCTACGTTATCGCTGCTCCATCTTTGTCACATCCTTATTTCTGTCCATTTTAATTTTCTTTGTAAAAATATGACAAAGGTGTGGGACGCATCTCTTTAAATAACTCATTAATTCAATACCCTTTGAGAATAATTTCTACATTAATTGCTGCCACTCATGCTCAGAATGTTTTATAGGTAGAGACATATGACATCTGGCAGGTAAAGGACAATTGGTAATACCCCTGCCATACAATTCTCAGAATACCTGGACTCCAGTGGAACGGTGTGCTTTGTGCCCCACTGATGGAGACTGCTTACTTTACGATACGTCCCACATACCCCTGGGCCTTGGATTGTGTAGCCGGAGGCCTGCAGGGAGCCTCCCCTGCCATCTTTACCAAGCAAGCTGGTCACCGTCGTGCCATTGCCGAATTGCCGCTCGCTCCTGCCAGCGTTACTCATGGCCGCGCGTTGTTGTTTACGGAGGTGCTTTCATTTGTTTTCATTTCACTTGGTTGTGTTCAATGTTGTCCTGCACGAAGTGTGCAGCAGTGGTGATGCATAAAACACCTAATTCCTCTTCGTGCCTTTATTCACGGTGCGAGCACCGCTTGCTCTGGGCCCACGTGAATAATAACAGGTCGCATTTATTGTGCGAGAAAAGTTGCCGCCTTGCAGAGCATAACTGATTACGTTGTTTTAAATATACAAGGTTCTTCGGACCTGTGTCTAAGATCAATGTCGTAATGCGCTTGTGTTGGCTCTGGATAGAAAAAAAATGCTCACAGGTGAAGGTGCAACGCTTAAAGTGTGTGAGATTGGGGTTTTCGCTGTGGCCCTGTCTAAATGTCTCTTGTTTGACGGGCAAGTGCCATGGCCACGTGAAATCATGCAACAGCTGCTGTAAACGTACGTTTATAAGCTGCCCCATAAGTGATATTGAACTGGGGTTTTGCAAGCATCAAACTGAACAATTTAGAAAGTTACTCAAATGTTTGCGTAATCAAGCAGAAAGGTCTGTAATAATTGAATTTTTGTTTAATATGAATGTATATAGAATCAGCAGTTTCGATTTAAAGCTTTTTGTGACTGCAGGGATTCATATTCTTGGTTCTTTCGGTAAAGTCACGTAGAAGGGAAATAATAAAATAATACAAATTAAACATAAAATAAAATTCTCACGACGTTTCGGCCACAACGCAGGACGGATGCTTGCATTGTGGCCGAAACGTGAGAATTTTATTTTATAATGTTTCATTTTGATTATTTTATAATGTTTATTGTTATTATTTTCTTTTATTACTTTATTATTTCTCTTCTACGTGACTTTACCAAAAGCATCAGCAGTGTTGTTTGCCTGGTTGACTCTGGTCGACCTGTGACGTGTCTAACCACACGACACAATCGACTTCTGAAATTTTGCTGATTATCATTCCTCTCACGTTTAATGTCCAAGGAAGCATTTCTGGCCAATACCACAACGTCACTTCTCCCCTACGCTTGTAATGTCGTTTGCATGTGAGGGGCCACATCTGCCGTGCTGATAGAGTTTTGTAAACTGCACGTCGATTGGTTGATTGCGGTTTCTGTGCGCACTTCACTTACACCTGCGTCGCTCGGCAATGGCCCACGGTTAATGCCACGTAGCTCTGGATTGCGGTTACTTTGTCCCAAGCGCCTTTGGTTGAGCGGCGACCTCAATGCCTAATTTTGTGGGAATTCACTGCTGGCTAGGGAAATGAAAGATGCAGCGTCCATACATTTTAATAGGGCACAGTGACCGTTCAACAATAAAAAAAAAAGGTGTAGGATCTCTGTTTATTCGAAGTCACTTTTGCGGTAAACTAAATTTGTTTACACAGCAACACGTTTTGTTGTATGCAGCTGTTAGCCTGTTTTTCTCTCTATAAATGCAAGAAGACAATACCCTAACAATGATCCACGTTTGTAGATCTTTAGAATAGTAAATTCGATCACTTACAAATTCCAGACACTAGATTTTACAATCAGAATTGCTATTTAGACTGGAGCAATTCAGTCAAGAGAGTTGGATATTTTAACTGTGGACTATCTGTTAACGCCACTCAAAATCATTTTTTAATTTCCAAACGTAAAAAAAGGTCCTGTCTATTTTCTTTAAGAAAAAATTGTCAATATCTGTGTACAGTTGAAATACTTTTTAAGAAAAAAATACATTTTATTTTCAAACTGATTTCCACTTGTGTTTTGTAAAGGCTTCCACGATGCAATTGTTTTGCCATTTATTCCGGACACACAAAGCAATTGTCTTTTTTTTTTGTACACGTTGAGCAGTTCCAAAAAAGTTCACGACTGCCTTAGTCGACTGCTAATGACCTTTTACAACTGTGCCGCATTTGTGCGCAGTTCCACGTAGTAGTTTCCCAAAAAAAAGAAAGACGCTTGGCAACGGTTTCTTACGACCCTGTGTTTGTTCCCATTCAGTTCAATCCAAGGCCGGTGACGGTAAATCTGTGGAGGTCAGTCCTCGGAAAGAGGCGCCTTCCAGCCCGAATAAGAAGCTCAAGGTGAGCGCTGCATGCATGGAAACGCCCGTCACATCTTATCACTGTTTGCATGCCAATTTTGTTTTATCATTATGATCCAGCTTTATCTCGTACTGCCTTCACTATAAACCATGGCCAGTGGAACAAGGCCTACTCTTGTTTCGCATCTGCATTTAATTTGTTTTCCTGATTATGCCTTGTTTTTGCACAACTCTTATTCGCTTTCCTTTGTTGTCCACAAATCAGTTCAGTCTGGCAGCCGTGCAATTTCTGCAGGCAAGCTTGCCTTTGCGAATGTTGCCCCTGACGCACTTTTATTCAAACCTGTATCTTCCATTGTTGTCGCATGTAGCTTCCAGTCCCAAAAAGTCAGGCTCTCCCCATGGCGGTCAAATGCAAAACACCTCCGGCCCCGTCGAAACAAGTCCCATCACGTCCTGACAGATCGGCTAAAATAGCCATGCAGACTTCGCACATCTCAGCCCCTATCAGCACCGGATCTGCCCGAGTGCGGCCTGCAGTACGGATGGAGCAGGTGAGACAGAGCCAGGCGCCTCCACGTGTGGTTTTGCCCAGGGCTTTGCCTCTGAAGAGGGTTCCACCTCCATTTTCCAGGGCTCCATTTCTCAATAATTTTACGTTGCACTCTTTAAGCAGTTTTTAACACAATTGATCATTTTCTGAACTCGACGATAACAAAAAAAAACTTAGCTTATAAAATATATAATTTCGATGTAATTCAACATATCAAGTGGCATTCTGGCAACACTGCTTGTTGGATTTTTTTTCGTATTTTAATCGAAGAAAAAAATGTCAGGATAATGTTTATGAGTCCAGGATTTTTTTTTTCATTTACAATAATTTGTGAGAGAGATGTGCACTGAAAAGGCACGTGATTAGTACGCGATGAGGACCCCTGCCTGACAAACGGCAGGGGCCATTGACACTTGGTGTTAGTCGGTAAGCTGAGTGACCTTTAGGTATTAAGCTCACCTCTTAATTCCCAAGACTCTGCCTCTAAATATAATTTTGATCCCCGTGACAACATGGCCTTAAGCCATGGGCAGGGATGGGTGCCACGGTGTAGCGAGATGTTAACTACCTCGCCTGGTATACAGGAGGTCGTTTCATTTACAATCATTTGTGAGAGAGCTGTGCACTGAAAAGGCACGTGATTAGTACGCGATGAGGACCCCTGCCTGACAAACGCCAGAGGCCATTGACACTTGGTGTTAGTCGGTAAGCTGAGTGACCTTTAGGTATTAAGCTCACCTCTTAATTCCCAAGACTCTGCCTCTAAATATAATTTTGATCCCCGTGACAACATGGCCTTAAGCCATGGGCAGGGATGGGTGCCACGGTGTAGCGAGATGTTAACTACCTCGCCTGGTATACAGGAGGTCGTGGGATCGATCCCGTAGTCTGACGTCTTTATATTTGGAGTTTGCATGTTCTCCCCGTTGTCGTGTGGCTTTTTCTCCGGGTCCTCTTGTGTTTTTTTCCTCCACATTTATAAACATGCGTTTAGAGTATTTACTGCTACAAATTTTCTAACCATAAGCCACTTCATTGAGCTATCATTTGCGGCCAGGTCGCTTCTAAAAAATAGCGAAGTGAGTTTTACTCTGTAAAATACAAAAAATAGTTTAGTTTGAGTATATTTATTTATAGTGATTTCCTTACCTTCCCTATATGTTGCGCTCCTGTCGTTTTTTTGTATTGTGTATAGCATTTTATAGAATAGGTAATGTAGCTAGAATAGGAAATGCACCTAAAACCTGGTGGTCTTCTCTGTGGAACGCGTGGGAGATGAGTGAGGAGTGCAGATCGTTAGAGCAAATGGAGCCCTCTTAGAGAATGTGTGGTAAAAACACGAACGTCATGGAGATGCTCTCCACATGCAACATTCATTAACAGCGACTAAGTGTGTGTTTTTTTTAATTAACAAAATTGTAGGCTGGTGAGACTTCAGCCTACTGCTAATAAACTGATAATGTTTCATTAACATTAAGCGTCATGTGGCTGTGTGGGTAGAAGGCTAAGCGGGCCGATGTCTGTGCTCATGTCAGAATCAGAATATTTACTTAGCCTGGAGGAATCCGATGAGCTATGAAGTTCGTTTTCACAGATGTCCAGCTGCATGTCCAAGACCCATGATATCCTGTGCCATGTCAGAATCAGAATATTTACTTAGCCTGGAGGAATCCGATGAGCTATGAAGTTCCTTTTCACAGATGTCCAGCTGCATGTCCAAGACCCATGATATCCTGTGCCAAACCCAGAGCTGAGCCAGGTTACTGCTCAACTCATTTGCATTCGCCAAAACTACCACAAACATCTCACTGTTGGACCCATTGCAAAAAAGTCTCGAGACTCACAGCTCTCCCGGGTAAAAATCGGCATTACCGTATGATTATTATTATTATTCTGTTTCACTGTTTCATTCGAATGACTACTAAAAAAAACAAGTGCACTATTGTACATCGCTTTGACTTTGAGAGTGGCAAACAGGCCAATGCCGTGAAAATCAAGTTAAGTTATATCGGCAAAAAATCGGAAGGAGAACGGCAGAGAATGATGTCCTGATGAAGGCAAATGCAGTCAGCTGACAGGTTGATGGTGGGTGAGAGCCACGGGCACTGATCGTGCTGTGGCTCGTTGTTTTAGTGGAGCCATAAAAGCCCTTCCTTTCGGGCACGGAGGGTGAGTTACGACAAATAAAGGATGTTTTGCCCTTCAGCTGATAACTGGCACAGAGCCAGAGATGGGGAAACCCAAATGGATTTAAGTATGGATCCTGAAATATGAAGGTTCTGAAATGTACTTAAAATGAGCATATCAAGTTGTATTTTTATATAGCGTATATTGTTTTACTACAGTATGTCAAACACGAATGTCCTTTAAGGATTCTGAATAATTATGTAGCAGTCATTTTTCACAAGCTCGTCTGTGTGTTGACCGAACATGCCTGCTATTAAATAAGAGAAAAAAAAATCCGGGTGAATTAACACGACATCTCGTGTGGGGCAGCTCTAATCTCCAGTGTGCAGTGCTGAGCCAAGCGTGGTGGAAATTCCTCCTTCCTATGGTTGAGGCGAGGCTTTCTATTCAACAGCCACTTGCTGACTCCCCACAAAGTGGCACTCACTATAGCAACTCCAGAGGGATAAAACGAGTTGCCAGCCGCCGAGATATGAACGTGCAGCCTTGGGACTGTAAACACTGCATTCACTGCAGTGCGCACTTTCAGATGTGCTTCTGATGTTAGGAAGCCACCGGAGCTATGCGCTTTGACATCTAAATTGAAAACTCATTTACTTAGAACTGCTTTTTGTGCTTAGTTTGTTGTCCTTCCCCCGCAACCTCAGTTTAGAACGGTTGGCTACGCACGGTGCAAAAGAAGTTCAACATACGTACAACACAGATACTTCTGCGCCAACTAAGGCCCTTCGTGTTAATGGAAGGCAAATTATTCCGATAATGCTGCTTGTTAGAAATGACAATGCAGCATCAGCGCACACTCACTCACTCGGCAGTTCTCATCAGCCGCGTACACTTACCGCAGATGGTCACAGGAATAGTGGAGCCGTGCTATTGGCACCAATGCAGCTGTTGATGTTTTACCCTGTGGTGGAATAACTGCTGAGTTTGTTTATTTTTGTTGTTGTAAAGCTTTCAAATGTCCAGAGCTTTTTTTTTTGTTCCAGAGCACCCTTGTATGATATGTAGTTTTGCTCCAGGATCATTGATGCTAGGATAAGCAGATAGAAGGGAACACATCAGCGTAATAACTGATGTCCTCCTTTAACTACCACGCTGTACACTCTGTTAAGGGTGCTGAATCTGTATGAGGGAATAACGGAGGAGTTCTTTGCATATTACAAAAGTGTTCCCTTTGGCTAAGCCCTTATGATGTCCCATCAACACGCGAGAGACATTTTGGTTGTATGTACAACAATGTCTGTTTTTGCTCGAGCCGTGCGGTCAAACTGCTAAACAAATCGTTCTCTTTTTTTATTTAAAGCTTTCGTGACTGCAGTAATTCATATTCTTGGTTCATTCGGTAAAGTCACGTTGAAGGGAAACAATAAAATAATAAAAATATATAAAACAATAAATATATAAAACACTATATTGTTTTATATTTTTTTTATTATTTTATTGTTTCCCTTCAACGTGACTTTGCCGAAAGAACCAAGAATATAAATCGTTCTTTGTGTGTTGAAATGCCTTTGACGCGTGCGGCGCTGTTGCTGAGTAAGTCGGTGGATAAAACGACTCCAGCGAATCGAATGGTTGCGGAAAGCAATTTGCTTTATTTCAGACCACTTGGTTAATGTCAAAGGAGTGTGCTTTCGCAACCCTTAACAAACGTTATGCAGGCATTAAAAAAACATTCCTCGGCGCTTTGCTCAGAGATGGTTTCCACTGATCTTGCACGCTGAACGGTTAAAGTGTAGCAAGGCAGGAATTTGAAGTGAAGTCAGAAATCGTGGCTACTGGGTAATGTAAATAGTGTACCGTAGTTATTTGGTTGAGATGTATATGTAAACGGAACACGAAGAGCTGCGAGATCGATTCAGGGGACTGGGAGCAAACTGCCGGCGACCGACTCATCTGGCAGCAGGCTGTGAAAACAGACCTCAGGAGAGACGATTTGAATAGACACACTGCTTGGCAGACCAAGAGGGAGCTACGTCAAGAAAAAAAAGCGGCACACACCTCTGGAAATGCCACCGCATTCACTTGCAATTGCTGTGGCAAGGATTGCCACTCAAGGATTGGCCTACGAAGTCATTCTAGGCGATGCAAAACCCACAGCTGACCTCGTAAGGCACCAAAGGCCTCATACATAGCCAAAGGTTGTAGGAATGTGAAATAGCACAGATCGTTCTGACCATCTGCTGCCAATAAAAAGATCGAATAGCGCAGTAATATTTGGTCAGAGTGCTGATGCCAACAAGCAATGAAAATCATATTTGCCTCATTCCGACAACAGATAACCAACCATAGCTGAATGTGAGCTCTAAACTGCGGCATCGACAGCACTGCACAGCTACACATTACAAAGAAAATACTGCCTTCACGTTGACAGGGAGGTCTATGAATGACCTTTAACATTTAATATTAGGAGAATATATATAAGATAGCAGGTCTATTTTCTGCAACCTCAAAAGCCCCCTCAAGAAACGATCCATTTTTCAGGATGGGTAGGGCTTTGGATATCAGCGCTCACTGTGAATACACAACTATGATTATTGACCACTGTAATTATAAAAGCAGCAGGGTTGTAAGTGGACACTGTGAGGTGGAAACATGGAATTAACGACAACACTTGTTATTATTGTCTGCTCAAATGGCTTTGACGACCGGTTTGACGTGTCTATTAAGGACTATGCGAGGTCTATGTGAAGCTATTGGTGATGACAGATGTGTGTGTATATATAGTTGCAACTTTATGATGTTTGACTAATTTACGTGTTTACATGTACGTAGGGACCCACATACCTGATTCCAGGTACAGTATTCATGGAAAAATTAATACGTGCAAAAAAATAGGACCCCCCCATGGCTTATCTGCCAAGTGATGTCCGTGTTTAATTGCAATCTTTAGGATTCAACCATTGAACCACTTAATTTTCTAAGGTTATTTTTTTAGATCACCCCCAAAGAATCCTCATCTTCGGGGGGGTGGGGGGAAGAGATGCAAGAACACTGAGCCGGCACCACTGAGATTCTGCATTCAATTCTGGGTTTCCGCCACGCATGATTAAATCGACTTCTCAGGTGTAGTAGTCACGTTACTAGAGCCTCAACATGGTCAGCATTCACTGAACAAAAGCCACATCACGTGACATTTGGTTTTCAATTTTATATGTAATTGTAATGTTATTTCATCTGGCAAAAATTTTAGGTCCAAAGATTTTACGCTTTTGGCTGCCATGCGATAAGTATTTCTCTCGGATAGGATTTGTAGGGAAGTGTGCCTTCTTGTGTGTGGATTTTTTTAATGGTTCGTGTAAAGGGATCTTGGAAGTGTTTCTCTGATACCTACTTCCACGGACTGCTTTTTAACAGACATGGTAAAGCACTGCTCTGCCAGAGTTCCAAATGGAAGCGCTTTACCTTTGCCCTGGAATGTTTATAGGTTGGCGTTGAACGCTTGCTCGAAACTATTTGAATCGGTCCTTTGAGCAATCTATAAATCATTAATTTGTCTTAACTATTTACAGACAGGAAGTTTTATATTTTTGCATTGAACAATTCTGGACTGTTTTTTTTATTGTTATTAAAAAAATATTAAAAGTAATGCAATGTACAACCCTTTTGGAAAGCCACTCCTGGTTCAGAATCAGAATATGTATTTATACTGGAGGCATACGAAGAGCTATAAAGCTCCTTTTTCACAGATGTTAGTTATGGTAGTTGTTTGAGCATACTCCATGCTGGTCAGTGCAGGTTGGCGAAGGAGAGTCGGTGCCCAGAACCAGTTCGGATATCACTCACCACTCTTGTAAGCCTTGACCGGAAATGAAACGCAGGTTTGCCGAGTTCATCGAGCATGGTGCTAACCACTGCTCCGCTCCACTTCTCCACCCCTTTATTCAAATTGAATACTGCCGAAGCAAATTAGTTCTAATACCTTGTGTATAAGCCAGAGAGGCATGTGGCAAGCTAATTTTAGAAGATTCCCAATGAATCCCCATTTAAAGTTTAGAGCATCAAACAATAAAATAAAATTATATGTGTGTTGCACTGTATGCAGGTTAACTAGTTTGTTGTCCTTCCCGCGTACCTCCGATTAGCATGGTCGGCTACGTACGGTGCGAAAGAAGTTCAACATACACACATACTGTAAAGTACATATTCTACCTTTTCATATCGTCCTGAGCACAAAACGTGTTTCTAGCTGCATGAGTATGCCTTTGCCATCTGTATTTCTGTGTAGTGAGTCCAACTGAGTCACAGCCGTTGCTCCTTTTAGAGGCAACACATGTATTGTAACACTGTAACACAAAGGGGTAACGGCCCTTTTACCCGATACAGCCTAGGGTGGTGACCAGCTAACTACACTATACAGGGGGGTTACTGCTACGAAGGGTTGGACCCTCACTCGGGTCTCCGACCACGTGGTTGCCTCGTAAGACTAAGAGCTTCCAGCTTGAGACGTAGAGCTTCCCGCTTGTAGAATGCAGCGACCCCGGTCCCTCTCAGGGACCCACCTTATATCCCCCAACGGTCGGGGCCTCTCCACCCTCGGCCCCGCCCGTCTTCTCGAGCATTCTCGTTCCCTCTCGATCCTTCTCAAGAGCTCTCCCCAGATACGTGATCACCCACTAGTCCCCCCACCTGGGGCCCCCTGTGTGGACACTCCGGATCACGTGTCTACGGGGTCAACCAGAGTGCCATGGCCCGGGGCAACCCTGCCCCTGGGCTGACACTCACCCACTTCCCCTCGGGGGAGCCCCCACCACTTGGTGTGTGTGGTGCCCACACTATCCCAGTGCTCACCAAGCCCCGCTAGGGCTGGTGTTACACACAGCCACCCACACGGTGCTGTCCACGCTAGGGCTGGTGTTACACACAGCCACCCTCACGGTGCTGTCCACGCTAGGGCTGGTGTTACACACAGCCACCCACACGGTGCTGTCCACACTAGGGCTGGTGTTACACACAGCCACCCACACGGTGCTGTCCACGATATAGGAACATCGAACAGCACGGCCCTTCTGGGCACCATACAGTGACATCCCTGATGTCACTACATCTGCAATATGTCCTGTTTTCAACAGAACGAGTACAATGGTCTAAACTTTCCTGACTGCAGGAATTCATATTATTGATTCTTTCGGCAAAGTCACATAGATAGAAAACGTCGTGGGTTTTTTGCTTTTAATTTCTATTTTTGTTTTCTATCTACGTGACTTTACCGAAAGAACCAAGAATTTGAGTACAATGGGCGTTTATTTAGATATACATGAAGCAAATGTGTAGAATCCTCAACGGATGAAATGGGTAAAACGGTGTAGGCAATTTAAGATAAATTACATCCTCTATGCTGCTGTAATGGAGTAAGACCGAAGATGAAATTGGGTGGTTTTGAATAGAGGTTAAAATTGAGGTCACTATCTAACTCTACATTATAGCAGTTGGGCCCTGCCGTTGTGTGTAAAGTAATTGACCATGGCTAAATAGATGTGGAGGGGAAAAATGGTCCTTATTCATGATTAACTTTGCCTTTGTTTTCATTATTTAAGTCACAACATGTGACAACAAGAGAGAATAACATCAAAACCTGGCTATGCTTTCTTTGCATGGTTGTGTGTTTTTCACATTACAGCTTTACACGTACATAATTGCCATATATATAAAAAAAATATTGAATACAGTACAGCTATAAATATACTCCCTCTTGCAATTTTTGCGGGCAGAAATTTGCCCCCAGGTGTTTCGTAATGCACGCTACTCATTTTTTTTTTTAGAATTCTGCCCCGTGGGCTGGGGTTGGCAGCGCCACTCCTCATTGCACGACTAAAAGTCATCCCTCCTTTGCCTGCGCGTGTGAGACGGAATTAAGTTGACGTGCAAACACTTGGTTCCACGAAAAATCCGGTGCCTGATTGCATTGTCCCGAAAACACCGCCCCAATTTAGAGCGCTGCAGAAGCCAGGGCGGCGGTGTCAGCCAAGCGTGCGGGCGAACAGAAAACCCGGCTGGGGATGACACCGGCCATCTCTTCGACGAAGACAGCAAGCAGGCCGGCCAGACCCTCCGCCCCCGCCTCCGAGAAGCATCCGGCGCCCGCGACGAGTGGTTCTGCGCTCAGATCCTCCGCGCCCGCCTCGGCGAGGTCCACCCTGGCGGTGAAGCAGGACGTGGCGAAGTTGACGAGCACCTTGAGAGCCAAACCGAGCATCCCGGCCGCCACGGAGAAGTCCCCCAGACCGGCAGCCGCTACCGCAGCCGGTCCCACCGCTGCCGCTGTCTCTGTGACCGCGAAGGCGCCCATCGCTGCTGCCGCCAGCCCGACACGGCCGACCTGTGAGTGCTCGCTCGCGCAATTGTGCTCGCTCGTGTGCTGTGTGCGAACAATTATTGTTCATCCTACGTCGATGTATGTGCTTGCGGTTCAAGCGACATGAGCAAAGAGTGTAGGTTTATTTCATAGCGTTATGGCTTGTGCATGCTTAACTAATCCCGAGCGCATAGAATAAGTCGACAATGTAGAACCAAATTTATTTTGTAATTTTTTTTTAGCAATTTGAATAGATTTATCCTGCCTTATTGCACTGCACATTCTTGATTTGTAATACAATTATAATTTTTTTTTATCGTGTAGTTAGGTCATCTCGTATACTCTTAAGATAGTGACTGAACACAGCTGCCATTAAATTTTGATTTAAAGCTTTCGTGACTGCAGTAATTCATATTCTTAGCTCTTTCGGTAAAGTCACGTTGAAGGGAAACAATAAAATAATACAATATATAAAACAATAACTATTCTCACGACGTTTCGACCATAACACAAACGGTCGTCATCAGGTGTGTCGGTTTGCATAAATTTAAATAAGTAAATATGGTCGAAACGTCGTGAGAATTTTTATTGTTTTATATATATTTTATTATTTTATTGTTTCCCTTCGACGTGACTTTACCGAAAGAGCTAAGAATACAGCTGCCATTCTTGAGGTAGAAACGATGGCTGGAATGGGTAGCATTGTGATTACAGTGTCTACATTGTTATGACGGTATTTTACATGGCTACAGGGTGTGCGTTTAAGTGAAAAGCGCTATTCAGAGTGATACAAAAATACTTCCATGATTGTGTTGAATGGGTGCATTAGGAACGGTGCTCTAAATAAATGTGTCCAGTGGCTCCTTAATTACAGTTTGTAACAAATATAATGAAGATGTTTGCTGATACAGCTATTTATCTAATACAGCTATTTAGCTGATACAGCTATTTAGCTGTGACTGTTCCACCTGAAGACGGAAGCTTGTGTTGCCTCCGAAACGTCGTGATTTAATTTAGTTGTTTTCATTTATTTTATTTTACCTACGTGACTTTACCGAAAAGACCAAAGAGTATGAATCCTTGCAGTCACGAAAGATTCAAATCTAGAAAGATGTATGTTTTTAACATTTTAATGGATAGTTATTGTGTGCCATTGATGATGAAACTGGAGTGATGTGTAAAACGCTGCTTTGCAAAACAAAAATATTTAGTTCCCACACGATTTAAATTGGAATTCCATGCATTTGAAGTGCATTATTTGTCTTGACTACAAGCTTCAATGCTACGATGGTTTGCAAATTACAGTACAATTCTCGAAGCAAAATTTAACATTTCTTAAATTGTATCGTTATCCTCTTTAATTTTATCACTCGAATTAAATGACTACCTTGTGCATGATTTTAGCAGCAGCAACAAGCCGCAGCCTATAATTTATAACAAATGGGAGCAGCTACGACTCTACAGTGATGTCACTCAGGGGAATGTTGCTAGGCTGCTTTCAGCTGGTGCTCAAAAATCCCCTGCTACTAGGTTCACGGACTCTCTTGCGTTCACCCTCACACCCACCGCCTTGCGCACAGCTCTGCTCGCAGACCGCTGCACCAAGCCCAGGATGACCCAGCAGAAGTCTCCGGTATCCACAGGTGCGACCCCCATCCCCCGCACAGTCAGAATACATCTGAATATATATATTCATACCGGAGGAATCCGATGCGCTGCAAAAGCTCTTTTTGTCACAGATGTCCGGTAGGGGCACGGGGTTCAAACTGTTCCAAGTTGAATGTCGCGCAAAGTCTTAATTTTCGCGTTGCAGCATTTAGCAGAGCGCCCCACTTTGCTGCGCGCCCCAACCCGAGTGGAGCATTTTGTCGAAATCGGGCGACGACGGCAATGTTTTTCATTCTCCGGCGGTCGGTCTTGGCAGGTGCCGGTAAGAAGGGCGGCGGCGCAGCGCCCGTCACCACCCCGGGCGCGGCCGGCACCGTGGGCCGTCCACCGGGCTCAGCTCGCACCTCGATGGTCCCCCGAGCGCCCGGCGCGCCCGGGGCCTCCCGGAGCTCAGCCACGCCGGCGAGCGGCGGGCGCGGTGCGGGGGCCACGCCGGGCGGGGCCTCACGCTCGGTGCCAACCACCCCCGGCGAGAAGAAGGCCTCTCGCACCCTGATGACGCCCAAGTCGCCCGTGGGCACGGCGCCAAACCCCAACCTGAAGGCGGTGCGATCCAAGATCGGCTCCACCGACAACATCAAGCACCAGCCAGCCGGTGGCAAGGTACGGCACTGGGCACGGGTGGGGGGGGGGGGAGACAAAAGCCGTGCGCTATGGGCAAGCAAGGATTTTGTAACTGTGAGATGAATGTCTTTCAGAAAGTGTTATTGTGGCTGAAAATCCATTGGGACCTTTTTGCCGGTATGAAAATTATAAAAAATAAGAATAGGCTTGACCCTTTCTGGTGATAAAACAGGAGGTGTTAAGACGTTTAAACACCAAAATAGACATCTATTGCAAGGCATCTAGTCTGCATTAATCACACGTACTTGTGGCAGCAAAACACGCAAACAAACATGGTATCTTTGATAATATATGCATTTTGATTTAAAGCTTTCGTGACTGCAGGAATTCATATTCTTGGTTATTTCTATAAAGTCACGTAGAAGGGAAACAGTGAAATAATAAAAATATAAAACAATAAAATTATCACGATGTTTCGACTGCAACACAAGCAATCATCGTCAGGTGTGAAAACCAGAGCAAGATAAATTTTTATTTTATTTTATTGTTTCCCTTCTACGTGACTTTACCGAAAGAACCAAGAATATAATATATGCATTGTTTTATTTGCACATCGTTTGGACGACAACAGAGACAGCCATTCTGTGTGGCCTTGTCTCACCAGCAGTGTTATTAGACCAGAGAACGCCAAAAGGTGAACAGTACCATTCTTATTTTTGCAGCTTCATGTCTTGTCGGGTTCACGTTCTTGAGTAGGCCAATGCATCAGTGCGGATTGAGACGAGTTAATCGCCGATATAGAATGTCAGCAGCCCTTGGTGTTGCCGAGTAAGGTTGTGAGTGCGCCCACCTCTTCTGAGAGGTCTGACCAGTGCGGAAGAGTAGGCCAATGCCATATACTCTCTGTAGCTCCACTCTACTGCAGGCCCTTCTGTCAGCAGTGGCATGACATTTCTGTATTCTTGGTTCTTTCGGTAAAGTCACGTGGAAGGGAAACAATAAAATAATAAAAATATGAAACGATAAAATTCTCACGACGTTTCGACTGCAACACAAGCAATCGTCATCGGGTGTGAAAACCACAGCAAGAAAATTTGAATAAAAAAACCCGCCACTTTTAAAAAAAATTCTTGCTGTGGTTTTCACACCTGATGATGATTGCTTGTGTTGCAGTCGAAACGTCGTGAGAATTTTATTGTTTTTTTTATTTTTATTATTTTATTGTTTCCCTTCTACGTTACTTTACCGAAAGAACCAAGAATATGAATCCCTGCAGTCACGAAAGCTTTAAATCAAAATTTGAGACATTTCTGGTTAGCGCCCTTATGTTTTCAAACCTATTACGGGTCCAGATTACACAGGTTAATTTCGAGTTAGCAGATGAAACCATGCAAAGTGTATTCAACGCCATTTGAATTGATGCAGCTGAAATGCATCTGTATTCAGAATCAGAATATTTATTTACACTGAAGGAATCCGATGAGCTACAAAGCAATTTTTCACAGATGTCCAGTAGGGGACAGGTCAGACGTTAATAATGATAGCTGAGAGTGAATAGATACTCTATTCAATGCGGATAGAATAATGATATTCATTATCATGTATAAGAATACACTCAAATACAATTTTGATAGCAAATAAGATCACAGCAACAGCAGTAATACATGTAATGGGACTTTGCAAACTCAGTTCAATTAACACTCGCGGCACGGAACTTATATCAGGTGGTAACTATTCTGTCAGCAAGGGGTGGGTGAAATTTTGATTTAAAGCTTTCGTGACTGCAGTAATTCATATTCTTAGCTCTTTCGGTAAAGTCACGTTGAAGGGAAACAATAAAATAATATATATTTTATTATTTTAGGGAAACAATAAAGGGGTAGGTGGTTCAATGTATTTCAGCCGACATTCGACACGACAGTATTCGGTTATGCTGGTTCTGAATACGAGCTGTGTTTTAACATTAAAATATATGAGTTATCCATTACATATGTAAACTCTGTACGTACTAAGAAAATACATCAGGCCTTCCCCAAACAATTGATAAAATTGCGACCGTGATGTTCTAAGGGTGTTCTGATAAGACCACGTCTTAAGCTGCTGCTGCATTTACACCCTGTGTAGATTCAAGTCGTATTGTGAATTGTATTTGTGAATTGTATTGTGAATTGTATTGTGAATTGTATTTGTGAATTGTATTGTGAATTGTATTTGCTCAATCCTGGCTCAGTGGGAGGTGGCTCGTTCTCTTTGCTGCCCACCATGTTCTAGATCCCCCCCCCCTGCCATCTGTGCAGACCAACTCCCTAAACCTGTTCAGTACCAGGCTCCAGTCCTTCTTTCTCCCCTCCGCCTGTGACTGCCTGCCGATTCTCAATAGAAACAATATGCTCTCGTACTCTCTCTTTACTGGGCATCTGTGAAAAAGAGCTTTATTGCTCATCAAATTCCTCCAGTATAAATACACATTCTAATATATATATCGTTCCATCTCAAAACGAGATGCAATTTAGAACGCGATGTTATTTCGCAAGGCGTACCTCGGCACGAATAGAATGCGTATGAACACCGGCGCAAGATAAGGCTCACACACGTGTGTGTGTGCAGTGCAATGACGACGTTTACGGTGTGCGGTTATGGGATATTACAGTAATGGTCCAATTTGAGATATATAGTCAATTTATTTTGATCGGCGAGTTTGGCCTCATGCACTCTTGTTAAAAGCACTCCCCCTTTGGAACCCGTCCAGAGAAGACTTGGCTTAACATCGTCGATAATCTTTGCTAGACAGTAGCAGAGCAAGACTTGGAAAATCATCGCACACCGCAGAGATGCTTTGTGCTCGCGAATTGCACTGCCTCTATCTCAAGTTCATACGCCTTGTGGCTGTCTGACAGAGATTTCCATACAAAGCCATGGGATTGTTTTGTACACATGCGCACAAGAGGGACATTCATTTGAGCAGACGCATATATACACACACGCGCGCGCGCGCACGCCTTAGCTCACACATCAGAGTGGATTAGCGCCCACCGCTAGCACGAGTGACTCTGTTGCACTTGCTCTGCTCGATCCCCTTCAGCTCGCTTCGCCTGCTGTGTGCATGGCGAGGGGATGCGGGGAAGGAAAGAAGGGAAAGGGGGGTGAAGCAGATGTCTTGCACGTCAGTGGATGCCGCTCATGGCAGCTATCCTTCAGTACCTCCTGCTGGTTTGCTCGCTTGGCGTGGACCAGACATGCGGTGATTCGCCCACCACCCTACATTTTCCCCACCAGCGATTCGATAAAACGCAATGATCCCAGGCCGTGAATCTCGTTTTGACTTCCCGTCCCGTCTCAACAGTTGTGTTCACCCCGTGAGGAGTCTATGAATGTAACTTCAGCTGTCAATTGGAATACGTGGCATTTGATTGATTGTCACACTCGCAATGCGATGCATATTTTGTGAGGGTAAGAGTGAGTTTCGTTTGGTGATTTGGCACATCGTTACTCGCCTAATGCGAACCCGGCCGAATCGTCAGTCATGCAGACACTTGCATAAAATGAACTTGAAGGTGCAATTGTACGGGTGTGTGTCTTCTTGTGCAACACACTGACAGCTAAATAATTGTAGCTGAGCAAATATAATGTGCGCCTAAAGGTGTGTAATAAAGCGGGACATCACAGATGTTCTGTCATTTAAAAATATCCGCATTCATTCTGCAATTGAGTCGTCCATGTAATTGTCTCAGGTGTGGAACAGAGCCATGACACTTTTTTTTAAATATAAATGTTTGCTGAACACCTTCAAGCAGTCATTGCCCACCCTCCTTAGACATTTAAAACATTCCCCCAAACTTGTTTTGTCATTCCTCTCAACGTGACCTTTCCCGTCATCGTTAATCTTTCGTTGTGTGGGCGCGAACAATGTGACGTTCCTGCATCAGCAGAATACCATCTCCTCATACGGTCGTGGAAAATTTTACATCAGACCTGGTGATTATTTTTTTTTTACGAAGGCTCCACTAATCCGTTCATTGATCTAAGACTTTACATCACAGCTTCGTTTGGCTCACAGGGGGCTCGCACAGTTGTTACCTACTGGACATCTGCGTAACAAAACGCTTTTAAGCTCATCGGATTCCCATTCGGATTCTGATTCACCTGTTTCGAATGTAATGCCGATGCACGAATTGGAAGCTTCGGGGGACAGGGGAAGCCGCCCGCCCGCCCGCCCGCCCGCCGTGCCCGCTGTGCGCGTCGTCATTGCAGAGGAGGTCGTCGCATGGCTCTGTGCACGTCAAGTGACCCAGATAGCGAGGCTGCAGGGGCATCAGCTGTGCTGTCAAACCCATGTGGGTCACCCTGCTGAGCCGCCGACTGCAGCTGTGTGATGCGGCCGGTTACCGCCGCTCGGATTGCACTCTCTCGACCACCGCCTCCCCAACGCAAGGGCGCCTTCTCCCCTGCCGTCTTGATTATAACGATAACCGCAACGTAAATATCTGCTGTCGTTTTCCTCAGAAAAGGGGGAATTGCAGAAGAAGGTTGTTTTGTTTGAAAGTGGGGGGCTGTTGTGTGCGCCGACGTGACACATTGCACAACACCGCGCGCGATTTAATGTTGAAGAAAATGACGAGGTCATGCGGAATACCAACGAATAGTATGCTGCAAACATTATTTCAGCTGGAAACGAATTATAAAACGTTTTGCAGGTGTGTGTGTGTGTGTGTTACGAGAAGAGATCTGTGTGATTGTGGCAATACCATTTAGGTTATATTGATACAGCATGTTTTTCATCGTGTTCATATTTAACAAATGAAACATTGAAAACATTACAACACAGTTAATTATGCAGATATGTAGACGGTAGAGGAATTCATGAATCATTACTTTGCATCAATGTGTCACTTTTAACCCTGAAATATTTTAAACATCAGCGTGTGATTAGAGGCTTCATCGCTATTAGAACAGACCTAATACTGTAACTTATTATTAACTTATTAAGTCTATTTTTTGCATTCACAAAAATATCGGTGGAATTTTGTAAAAAAAAAATACTCCTTCTCTTAGTTAATAAATAGTGAAAGTCAGTCGAGACTCCGCTCATGATTTTTTTAAATACATATATTAACAAAAAAGTTAGTAACAACTCGTTCAGCATTTTGGCTAAATTGGCGTTCGGTCATCGTGTTCCATTGCACACTCCGTGCATTACAAGAACAGGTATCACCTGAGGTTTACAAACCAGCCATGTGCCCATCGTGGGGTAGCAGACACCAGTCAAACAAAAATCCATCGTTGTACTGCACACATCTATGCTCCCCCCCACCCCCTCATGATCCTGCACTGACGAACTTGACGGTATAAATATAAAGGTGCAGCCCTGCAATTGCTTGCTCACAACGCCACTGGCGGGGAGCTCCTAAGGATATTTGGCCCACTCTTCTACACTGGGCCAGACGTCTTGGAAGAGGTACCCACACTTTAACTCATGGCGCGCAACCTGCCCATCAACTGACAGCGGTGGAACCCCATTTATATTGCTGGGCGGGGATAATTGCAAGAAAATTTGCCCACAGGGCCACGTGAGAGTCAACCCCTGGTGCGAGAGTCAAGTCTGTGGTTAATCATTGATGCACGGCACCATCCGGCAGGCGTGGGGAGGTGTGGTCAAATAACCTCCATGACCCATAGGGCATAAGGAGGCCTTCATCCAACAGTGGATTTACCAAAGGGCTGCACGTGTACCTATGCTGTGCTGTTATTAGACGTGACACTTGTGATACGTCACTGCTAATGGATGTGGGCCTGAACAAAGACTGTATATACTGAATTGACCTGTGGCTTCACACAGATCCAAATCGTGACCAAAAAACTGGACTTCAGCCACGTGACGTCGAAGTGCGGCTCCATGGCTAATGTCAAGCACATCCCTGGTGGAGGCAATGTGAGTTGTGCTGCCACCGTGGAGTGGATGCCACGTGACACTTTCACACACACACGCGCTGCATTTACACTGCCGCTGGGTAATAGGCTGGGCTGATTTATAAGCTGATCAACTAGACTAGGCCCGGCAGACTTGCTAAGCAAAACTAAACTATTTTTTTATTAAACCAGGTAAGGCTCACTGAGCTATATAGCTCTTAAATTTTGATTTAAAGCTTTCGTGACTGCAGTAATTCATATTCATAGCTCTTTCGGTAAAGTCACGTTGAAGGGAAACAATAAAATAATAAAATATATATTGTTTCCCTTCAACGTGACTTTACCGAAAGAGCTAAGAATATATAGCTCTTTTTCAGAAGCGACCTGGCCACAAATGATAGCCCAATGAAGTGGCTTATCATGTGGAGATGTATATCAGCCAAATACTCTGCGTGTTACTAAATGTTGAGGGAAAAACCAGAGGACCCGTAGAAAAATCCAACGCCACCACGGGGAGAACGTGCAAACTCCGAATATACACGTGTCAGGGTCGGGATAGAACCCACGACTTCCATGTATACCAGGCGAGGTAGGTAACATCTTGCCACCATGGAGCTTTCAGAAACAGGAATCAAAATAAATTAATGCTGTAAAGCACCTACATTTACATTTTATCCGATAATGAAATTGCTTGCTGCAACAACCAATGGCTGTGCAAAGACCATCGGTGCGAGGTGTCGAGCCCTTGGCATTGCCTCCATGCTGCCCTGTGCTGCTGTCACGAGGATTGCCGAGCGGTACCTCTGAGCACCACAGCAACCTGTGCAGGTTTCAGTCAGCCGAGGTTCCCAGATTTTCACAACGTAACCCTCATTTTGTCGTCAGGGTCACATCCACATCGTGACATTTGGGGGGGGGGGGGATTATCCCAATAGGGAACGCACCCCGGTGGATATTGGTGAGATTCAGAATCTTTATTTAAACTGGAGGAAGAATCCGATGAGCTATGAAGCTCTTTTTCACAGATGTCCAGTATGGGCACGAGGTCAGCAAGTTGCAGATGGGAGTCGCGAAGTTTGTCCACTGTACTACAGTTATACTAAATATAGTTGACGACTGGCGAGTGACTCAGAACTGAGCCGACTGGTTCTGTCATCAGCATCAGACTGCGTGCCCTCTTGTTTAAGCACGCTTCGCACCTTCGATTAGCACGGTTGGCTACGTATGGTGCAATAGAAGTTCATCATACATAAGGAAGCAAAATGCAGACTCAACAGTACCGTGATTTTGTCCAAAATTGTGCGGGTGTCCCTTTTGCCGCATCTAAACGCATTGGGAGGTGTCGGGCCACCCACAGCGCCCACACCACCGACTCTCGACACTTCGCCTCCTGGCACCTCCTGGCAAGTTGAAGGTCGCAGCAGCGTTACATCGCCACTAGCAAGGCCAATACGCTGGCGCCTCGTCGCCTCTGCACACGAGCGCTGTGCTCACAGCAGACTGGCTTTCTTGCCACCTGATCTAGTGATGGCTGTTGACCCCAGCAAACATCCCAAGTCTGCTGCCCTCCTCCAGTCCGTAATTGCAGGGCGTTTTAATGGGATTTTGCCGTCATAATGTCACGCCTGCAATAGCAAGGACATTGTATCAGGCTGCTCGCCTATGACTGAATCACCTGGAATGCACCAGTTCTCATCAGATTTCAGAATATATGCAGGGTTGATGACCCCGGATTGTGGTTGTATGGGCGACCGCAGTGCACCGGTCAGGTGTTATAGGCTGCTGCACAGCCACGTGGTCGCGCGTTGCACTGTACTGTGCTCCTACGTCAGTACTCCCCGCACTTTACCAACCCGCACCTCCCAGCGTGGTGAAATTTGGTCAAATAACCCCCCCCCCCCCCACCATGACCCCTGACAGAATGGGGAGGCCTCAGCCAGCGATCGATTGACAAAAGGGCTGTACAGGTGCATGCATTATAACGCTTAGACATTTAAGTCGAGTAACGTATCCACGCAGGGCTTGATGCCAATATAGATGATGTAATTTTTTCACCCAGTTTTTAATATAAATCACACCTATAAATGTTTTATTGACTTTAGACTTTGCATTCTTTCTCAGCGTGCACACTAACGTGACCGTGCTAGCCTTCACATTAGAGGTGTAACAGTTCACCCCCCCCAGATATATGATGAGCTGTCATTAATCAGGATCATGATACAATTCGAGAATTATGTTGTTTACAGTGTGGTGAAAGTAATACCTCTAATGGCTGCAAGAGTCATGCGAACCCATTTCACACCGAATATTCTCTTACGCGCACGATTCCAGACATGCATCACACTTGCGAGAATCAATCTTTATTGATGATGCATCGTTATGACGTCACTGAACCTGATATAATGTCATCATTTGCACACGGTCAATTGACTTTGCGTGACCTTGCATATTCTCCATTAAATACAATACATTACACGCAATTATTCCTCATAGCTCTCATAATACTGGGAAGATGTGTTTATTAAATGAAAGTGTTTTAACACTGCTAATGATGCGATATTGGAGGAGAGGATGATAATGTGATGGTGGTTATATCGTTAAATAGCTATTTGACACCTTCTCCGACGACGAGGCTGATTTCTCTGGGCTGCTGTTTCCGTTGCACGATTTCACAGGAAATTGACACCATTGACCAATAATAATTGTTTTTTTTTACCCTTTTATCTGGCAACACAACTGACACCTGTCAGTTGTGTTGCCAGATAAAAAGGGTAAATAAAACAATTATCATATTTTGCTACTGGCAAAGGAGGTTCCAATGGTGTAAACCATTGACCAAATTGGCACCTTTTATTGTCGCGTTGTCTGGTGTGGCTCACACCGAACACTCAAATTTATCCTTTTATAAAATGGAAATTTCACAACATTTATATACTGTATTACATTGTATTATATTCACACCATACATACAATATAAACGTTTAACCAACTTTGTGTCCAGATGTGTCTATTGTCAATCTACTGCTCATGGTAATGCTTTCTGCTATCAGGAGAAGGCTTACCATATTGCCTAATTCCAGGTGCAAATTGTTTCCAAGAAGGTAGATGTCCGTCACGTGGCTTCCAAGTGTGGATCTAAGGACAACATCACTCACAAACCAGGTGGGTCCATCCGCACTGGCTTCCTCATGTCCCTCTGCCGCCACCTACAAGCTGATTCGCAACTTTCCACACCGACGGGTTTTTTTTTAAATAGTCGGCGCAAACGTTGCATTGTTTTTTTATGTGACTCAATTGGGATTACACACAGCAGCAATCATCGCCCCATACTGGGAGACTAATGCCTCCTTGCAGGCCAGGTGCCGAGTCTCCCTTGTGCCCACAGGGACAGCTGTCACTGCGGATACCCTTTCATATGTTTGAAGTATTATGTAAGGTGTTCTGAGACTTCCTGGCGTAGAGGGTGATTTTCTCAAAAACAAATCATTATCATCATTTGGGTTGGGTTGGGTTTTTTTTTGCCAAGGGGTGCAGTTGGTTAATTTTCCCAATGACGCTACTCTTTGGCATCACGTGAAGAGGAATTACATTGCAGTTGCGAGATCAATGTCTTGTCGCCAGCAGCTATTCACTCAGCTAGAATAGAACAGTCAGCAAATCCCTGCTTTGCTTCTCTTATATATTGATCTCCTGTCAATACTGGTATAGCTTGGGTAAGATCAACCTGAGTACGAATACTAATGCCAGGATGATATTCTCCTATAGTGATTGCTGCATTGGTAAATATCATCTCACCTCGATGCACTTAAAGCCCCTACAGCCGAAAATGTCAAAATTCCTTGAATTTCAATTCAGAAACGTTTAAGGGGGGTTTCTATATTCTCTCGTACATTGCATTACCCCCTCCGCCCACCAGGACTCGAGACAACCTCACGCATGCTTTTGTGTTTATCTAATCTCAACACTCCGCATAAAGACGCACGCCATGGTGTAGTGGGGGCACTTATTTTAAGAGTGCCCTTAAAAGAGGAAACGGGGTATATTGCCAATCACAGGCAGTCACTTTGTCTACGGTGCCATACTCACTTAACCATTATTATTATTTTTTTGGCAGAGGAACATTGTCACGCAGGCACACTGGCGATGCACCGCTCCGGATGTCGACTCGTTTTTATATTCAACACTGCTATGATTGCAGAGCCAGGGATGTGCTGTTGTCAAGCCGTATTATGGCCCTCGGCCATCTGTGGTTCACTCTGAGATCTGTGAGCCACACAGTTAAATAAATAAATAAAACCTTCAACACCAACGGGATTTTGTGCGTATGTCTGTGTGACAGGTGGAGGGAACATTCAGATTGTCAGCAAGAAGCTGGATTTCAGTGAGAAGGCTCAATCCAAAGTAGGCTCCCTGGACAATGCAGACCATGTTCCAGGAGGCGGCAATGTTAAGGTGAATGTCCAATAATGTGTGAGTGTGCTGCCTAGTGCCTTCGCAGGTGTTTTTACACATTCCTAGACTTGAAGCTTTCGTGACTGCAAGGATCCATACTCTTTGGTTCTATTCGGTAAAGTCACGTAGGTAAAAAATAAAACAACAAAAATCACGACGTTTCGGCCACAACACAAGTGGCCTTCATCAGGTGAAGGGACCGTACTGTCCAGAGGACAGCGTTGGACAGTACGGTCCCTTCACCTGATGAAGGCCACTTGTGTTTTGACCGAAACGTCGTGATTTATGTTGTTTTATTTTTTACCTACGTGACTTTACCGAATAGAACCAAAGAGTTTTTTACACATTCACATCATCGTCACCAACTATTGTCTATCCACTGCTGGACGAAGCCCTTCCCATGCCGTCACCATTTGTCATGATCCAGTGCTGCTTCCATCTATCTTACGCCTGCAAATTAAGTGATTTCTTTGTTCCCTCTTCAGGGGTGGTGGGGGAGGCGGTACACATGATCTCATCTGAATGCCATTCCATCACCAATCTCATCCATGGCCATGAACCCATTTAGTGATGTGTCCTGCCCAAGCCCACTTACTTTTCTTGAGTGTCAATATGATGTCTCTGGCCTGTGTTTGTTGTCTGATCCACGTGACCACTTTTCTGTTTCTTGTGTGTACGTAATTGGAGGTGTATATCCAAGCACTCATCTCTCCACTCTGCTTTCTGTACTTTTCAGCTTTTGATCTATGGCCTCTGTCAGTGGCCATGTTTGTGATCCATTATCAAATCTGACAATTTGCACTGATGGAACACTTTCTTCTTTAGATGCCTTGTTCTGCTCATATTAATAATCTATATTTAAACTGGAGGAGTCCGATGAGCTATGAAGCTCTTTTTCACAGATGCCCAGTATGGGCGGATCAGTACCAGGATAAACTTTCTAAAGACACTTCTTCCTACTACTATTCTCTATTTCACTGATGTGATGCCCGATGTATGCACATGCTGCTGTGTTTTCAAGTTGTATTCGTACCACAGTTAATTTGTATTGTTTAAAAAACTTGTTTTACACTAAGTTAGATTTGCCAATATTTAAGTCCAACCTTGCAGCGTTCTTCGTGAAATTCTTCAATACCTCTCGTAATTGAATTTCGCTGAGTTGGCTAAAACCTTTTCCATTTACGTTTCAGCCTAAATTCTCCAATGTATTGCTTAGAAAGATATATTTCAAAAATTGCTCTAAAAAATCTTGGTGAGAGCGTATCTCCTTGCTTGACTCCTGTTCTGAGTTGTATTTTGCAATTCTCTACCGCGCAATCCAAACTTTCCAAATTTGAGAATTACCCGCAAATTATAAATAGCAATTATCGCCCCCTACTGGCAAATGACACTATTCCTGTCTCTTAAGTTCTCGCCTGGTTAAATAAAATAAATTTGAAGCCTAAAACTCAATATAGCAGTGCCTTCTTTGTAAAATCTTTGACGATTGCTTCAGTTTCCACTGAATCGAATGCTTTTTTTTAATGAACAATGAAAACAAGGCACGATTGTATTTGAAATTAATTTGTCTTTTCAAACACTTGATTTATGGTGTGTATGTGGTCACTGATGGGACATCCTTTCCGAAATTCAGTTTGCTTACATGCTTTATTTGGTCTTTAAAGCGTCCACAATCGGTTCCCTGGGAGATATCAAAACACTTCTGCCAGTCTACATGGCCAACCTTGTCTACATCCCTTTCTCCCCGTCAGATCGAGTCGCAGAAGCTGAGTTTCCGCGAGACAGCCAAGTCCCGCACGAACTACGGCAATTCCTCCCACTCGCCCACGACATCGGAAGGCCCCTCGGGACGCATGAGCAAGGTCTCGTCCACGGGCAGCCTGAGCCAGGACGCTTCCCCCGAGCAATGCGACGCACAGGAGCAGCAGAACCACCAACAGAGCCAGCAGCAGCAGCAGCAGCAGCTGTCCACTGACATCACCGAGGCACTGGCCGGGCAGGGGCTGTAGGGTGGACACACACGCACGCACGCAAGCACTTCGCGGGTCGGAAGTGGCAGCATAGGCTAAAGGGTCACAGCGCCTCCAAACTTCCCCCCCACCCCCTCCTCCGCCCCCAGCACGCACACATGCATGCTAGCTCCCGTTAACGTGACACAAGTTAACGGGAGCTCTCCTGAGACGGACATGTGTGCGCGCGCGTGTGTGTGTGTGTGCGGACACGTGCACATCACGTTCGCACCCACACGAGCACGCGGACCATGTACGTCTCCACCGTTACGTGCTCTCAAACCTGCTCGCACCAAGGTGTGCCGAGGTACTTTCGCCCACACGAGCCCATGCAGCACAGCATCCAGTTTCACCGGAATGTGCCAGGCCAGACCCGATATGCCCCCCATCCTTCAATCAAGCAGGAGAGGCAGGGTGTGCTGCCTCTGCAACCACTCTGGCTGGCACCATTGGTTGTGAACACACAACACAACACATAACGTACACGGCTGAGGAGCTTCTAATAACTGCACCCCCACCCCCGATCCATTGCCACATCTGTGTTATTATGCTGCACGCAGTTTTGGCATTCTGTAAAAGATAATGTTGCTTTGATAGCCTTTAGGAACACCTCGAGATTTCTAAATGAAATGGCCGTTGAGCCAGTGATGTAAATGACCCAAAAGAGCTGGCAGAGTATGAATACGTTATTATGTGTGGTATTTCTGTAACAGTAATTGCAGTGTTTTTCAAAACACGTACAAGTACATGCTACCAGAAAAATAATCGTACATGATTGGCTGCAGAACCCATCTAATATATAGTACATATATATATAACCTAATGCATCTCGGTGGTGAAGCAAAACACACGAATCGCAACGGAGTATAACTCGCTTGCAAGTGCCATCCATGGGCCGAGATACAGGTCACGTACAACGTTAAGTTCCCGCTGCAGGAACGTGGTTCAGAGTCTGGCCCCCATGATGCACTGACTGGCTGGCTGGCGCGTGCCCGCGATGAGACTGTGGTGGGGTTGACGATGGTGCCCGGTGGTCTGGCTGGGTGAGGCCGAGCGATGTCTGCACACCAGGTCCCCGTCTCACCGCACGTCTTCCGACGGACCTGCCGTGCCGTTGAACTCTCACTCGTAGTTGAAACGAATGCTGCGATATACTCTAACCCTTGGCAGTTAATCTCCACGCGTTAATCTGGCTATTGCTTGTGTTTAATATTTTTGAATATTTATTACATCCTAAATGTTCTCTATGGTAGCTGGAGTAGTTCTAGGGTAATGTTCATATTACCATGCATTTTAACACCTTGGAAAGTTTAAGATGTTACATTTTCAGTAGTTCATTTTAGGTGTAAAACTACTTTTAACTGTCTACGAGTCAGGAATGAGAATGAGACGGTGGTTATTTATTGCCGTGGCATTGCCAGCTTACCGGTAGACAGTGTCACGAGGGATATGTCCAGATGGTAAATTTAACATAGTATTGTAATGATGGTGTTGACAAAAATATTTATCCAAGAACATTTTGCATGACCAATGGCTTGTAGAGTATACAAGCGTTGCAAGTTTTAGGGAATTACATTGCAGTATGTTAGCTGTAATGTTGACCACATTACACACGTGTCAAACGGGAATCCATTATCCCTGACAATAGCACACTTTTGCCATTCAGCACAATGCGGAGGAAATACGAAGGCGGGTCAGAGTGATGTTGACGTTAGGATTACGATGGCAGTGGTGTTGCAAGTGATGATTGGGTGTGTGATAGTGAAGGTGATGGCGGCGTTACGTTTAGGATTTTGATGGAAGTGGCAGTGCTGTTGGTGAACGACAGAGGCATAGACGATGGCTTTGGTAATAGACGATATTGGAAATGATTGTTTTAGTTATAAATGTAAGACAATAGCATTGAGCCTAAATAGTGCCAATCTTTGTTAGTATCGGTGGTTTGGTGTTCACTTGAAGGGATATGTATGTATGTTGTGGAAGCAGCAGGGCTCCAGATATGACACCTCGACAGCCGAGGACACCGCATCAGTCAGTAGGAATTAGAGAGTCAAGTGGGACTACCTGGCTCTGTGTATTTCACATATTCATGCGGACCTCGAACACTCCTCGGTACGCCTGGTATCGTCGATGCGTCTGGCATCGTCGGAGCTCCCTGTGCTGAACTCTGCAAAGCAGTGTTGTGTTTAAGGCCGGCCGAAAGACGTCCGTAGAAGCATGAACTTCTGATAAAATTACTGTAACCGGACTGTTTTTGGAAATAAATGCTGACTCCATTTTGTTCTGACAGTCATATTTCTGGCTTGTCAGCAGCCCCCTGTGCGTACGTACGCACGCATACACACATTCACCCGGTACAGCGGTTTACTCCGCTCTCACTGAGACTTGAATGGTATTAACTTGCCCTGGTAATTTATTTTCAACCGTGTCTACTACACATTTTAAGTAAAACACGAGTATGTTACTTTATTTTTACTACCAACATCTATATACAAAGAATATGGACACAATTGCAACTGTTTAAAATATAACGAATGCCACTAATTACGTACTGTCAACGTAGAGTAAGTTGTAAATGCTGACGTTTCTCATCAATGGTAAGTCTCTATGATTTTCTCTCAAAGTTTTCATTCTTTCGCGACGTTAAACACGTGCCGATTGCGGTCACGACAACAAAAAACTCGGATCACATTTTTTTTTCCGAAGTAAAATGCTTCTGCAGATTCCCATTGATCTCCAAACAGGAGCTTAAGGTGGAATTTTTTCCATAATCCTGCAGTGGGCTTCCCCTCTGGACTATAGCTCGGCCCAAACTCCAGCCATAGCTTGGATGGTGGAAGGTGGCTATAGGTTTGAGTCTGCCTCTTCTCCCCCCCCCCCCATCGCGAAGTTGACTTTGCACAAATCTGGAGTCAAACGCTGGGTTTTGTGGCCGTTGGAAAATGTGGAGATGGATTTCATTCTTTAGCTCCACTCGGAGATCATCATCTCTTGCCGCCGGGTGTCAGATAGACTAATGTGCGCAACAAATAGTCGCGCTGGAGGCGGAATGAATTAACCTAGCATGGAACGCTTGAGATTATTAGAGTAAAGAGTTTCTGTCTTATACATTTTATTGGCGGTTTTTATTAGTCATTAAGCTCAACAAATTGAGATGACAGTTATGTTAAATTGCATCTTTTGCTTTGCAGACTGTTGTGAATGGAATTAATTGCTCATCTACGTAATAACCGATGGTGTCAAAACTTTTTCCGAATGTTTTAAGTAGTCAGATTGGCCAGCTTCATATATTGACCTATCGTGAGCTCGGTGACTTGTTGAGTTGTTATACGCTTACAGATCAGTCTGTTTCTCACCCTTTGTAAACCGTTAGGAATGGAAATAAAACATCTGCCAAAATCTTACAAGTAATAAGACACCAAAATATTGAGGTTTTTTTTTCCAGCAAAGAGCATTGAACAACAATGACATGCACCTCTGGGTAATTTTTTTTGTTATGTTAAGCCATGTACTTTGTGCCCAATGTGTTGTATTGCAGCTGTCAGTGCTATTTTGAGTTGTGTTTAGATGCTATTCCTTGGGAAAAATATAAACTTAAAAATATTTTTTTTCCACTGTTTCAATGATTCGACGTCAACAGCAAACGATCTACATTTTATTTTATGTCAACAGCAAAACTCTACAAGGTGAGTAATGCATTTGGTCAATAATCACATCAAACTCTTTTATAATAGCCTTTTGCCCGTCCAAGGACGGGTGTATTTCAGTAAATCTGAAGCTTGCAAGCGAAAATCAGACCACGACGTGATATTTTCATTGCATCAATGCGTGTGCAATTTGTAAGACCGCTGTGACACAGACCTATTTCATTTAAAAGTTATAATCCCTTGTTCATCATGACGTCCTTTTTACTTCGATGTCTCAATAGCGTTACGGAGATCACGTGACGTGAGGGTTCTGCCTTTGTAGTGAGGGTTGTCAGTTGACGCCGAGGAGGGGGGAGGAGGCGCCTCGCCCCCCCATGTGGAGTGACGTCACTCGCTAATTAATATTAATGAGGGGGGGTGTCCATTTGGAAGACGTCACCTCTTCATGATTATTAATGTGGGGGACTGTTCGATGTGGAGTAACGTCACCGGCTCATGATTATTAATGAGAGGGGGTGCTACATGTGGAGTGACGTCACCCGCCTATGATTATTAATTAGTGGAAGGGGGTCCATGTGGAGGACGTCAGCTGTTCATGAGTATTAATGAGGGGGGCTGGCCGACGTGGAGTGACGTCACGTGCGGGACACAGACAATCTTGGCTCATTATAGTCGTAAATTTTACTCCGTCGGGTCCAGCTCAGAGGGACATTTATTAGCAGACGGGACGGAATCTCGTATATATTTGCAGAGTTGAACAGTGCATGTCTATAAATAGTGGATAGGTCCTTGAGGGATCCTCCCATCCATTATTAAAATCAAATGCGTTTTTGGACAATGTGATTTTGGAAGTCAAAGGAACCCCCTCAAATGTCTTGGTATTTTTTTCCCCACGTATGTTCCATATAATAATACAATCATTATTTACAGCATAAATCAAAGCAGTCCACTCCAGTGGACTCGATGCATGAGAGGGTCAATGTAATGTCCCAGCCTTTTGTAGGATTCTGATGTAGTTTTTTTACAAATGGAATATTGAGTCACTGTCCACAAATATTCGTAAAACAATTTGGAATTGGAGCTCAAAGTACCAAAACAAAGGTTAATGCATTTGAATTGGCGAAACGTAAAGTTGCAGCCCGACAACTGAAGCGCCACGGTGGCTAAGAGATGTTAACACCCTCGCCTGCTATGCAGGATGTCGTGGGTTCGATCCCGACCCTGACGCCCGCTGTATATTTGTAGTTTGCATGTCTCTCTCCAAGTAGTTACGTGGATTTTTCTTCGGGTCCTCCGATGTTTCCCTCCACATTTAGAAATATACGATTAAAGTACTGTATTTGGCTGATATAAATTTCCACATGGCGATACGCCACTTCGTTGAGCTATCATATGTGGCCAGGTCGTTTCTGAAAAAGAGCTGTATAGCTCAGTGGGCCCTTACTTGGTAAAATAAAAATAAATTGTTCAGTTTAATTGGTCGCTCACGCCACTGCTGGCAGAAGGCCCTCAACTCGAGGGAGCTCGAGAGAGCCCCTCTAGAATGTAGTTTGGCCGACTGGTCCACGTTGGCCACACTTAAAACAGGTTGGAGTAAGCACACTCTGCCACACCACTCATAACCTGGACCCATGCATACTGCCGGATGGACAGAGGCGGGTGAATTCAAGAAACACCCCGATTGCCTCAACTGCCCCAACAGGAGGTCGAACTGGAAACTTCTGTACAACAAGTCCAGAGTGCTGCTGATGATCATTACACCACAAATAGTTGAAAAGCTGAGGTTTCTGAGATGCAAAAAAAAGTCTGCTTTTACAAACAGCCACTGCCATGCTCCATGTTGTCAACCACATCTTGTGATTTGACCACTCCCAGGTAACCTTCACAATCCCTGTTTTACAACAATGAAATCAATTGAAGGCAATAATCACATTAACACAATGGGTTAGGCTAACCAAAAATAGACTGTCAGCAATCAGTTCTTCAAAGCCCATTCAATTTACAGACTAGCAAGATGGGCCAGTGCGGAGATTATCGATGTCTACATTGGTAAACCAGATGTTACGTGAAACAATTGACACCTATGAAGATAAACCAGAGGCACGCAATGAGCTGAAAACAATGCTACTGCAGCAATAGGGCCAACATTGATCTGCTATGCTATTTTGCCTGTATCAATGCATCCAAGCAGTAATATCTCGTGACACTTAATGGGTGGCATTCTCACAGCAACCGAAGATAACTTAAGCTCACCCGTGACACGTGTATAGAACATGCTATGTGGGTCTATAGTGTAGGTTTTCGTGGTTGTGTCATACAGCCCTGCTGTGTGTCCCGACTGTACCACGTGTTGTTGAGCATGCTGTATGATGTTTCGCTCCGTGTACTCTTAGCTTTCTTCAGGAACTGAAACTCAATTTCGTCCAATGGCGCTCGAGTTTCTTCGGTGAACTGAATTTCAGTTCCAGCACGTTGAGTGAAACGTCATACATTACGCTGAACAACACGTTAATACGATCCGATAACACATCGGACAGCGATGTTGTACAGTGCTGTGATGCGGCCCTTAGTGCCCATCATTATTAACTTCAAAGGTGCCACTTCTCTGCCCTTATGAAATCCAGAGGGCGCCACAGTGGCAAGCTGTGTGATGATGATGAAGCCACTTCGATGAGATTTAATTTATGACCAGGTCGCCTTTAAAAATAGCGAATAGCTCAGTGGGGCTTACCTGGTAAAATAAAATAGTTTAAATTAGTGCATTAACATGAATGCACCTCATATTCTTAGTTTTTTCGGTAAAGTCACGTTGAAGAGAAACAACAAAATAACAAAATATATATATATTCTCTTCAACGTGACTTTACCGAAAAAACTAAGAATATGAATTACTGCAGTCACGAAAGCTTTAAATCAAGAATGCACCTCGTTAATCGTCCACACATTAACTCAGCCATGTCAGTGCAAGTTCTCTGCTGTGGAAAATGTTTTAGCTACTCATGTTTGTGACTGACTTAGCAATCTAGAAGCACATTTGGTACAGATGCTAGATTTTTTTTTTCCATTTCACTGAAACTGGGAACAGAACTAGAGATAAATGTCTTCGTGAGTTACATATCCACGGCGCCTTCTGGCATGGAAAGGGTTTTCCAATAACTTACATGGGCTGGCCATTACTTCTGTTTTTCACAAGCCCCTAAGACAGTGTTCTTCACTAATTTCAAAGCGGGGTCACCACCTTCGCCGATGAAGACATCGTCAGTGTGAGGGCCGCCAAACATTTTAAACCATCGGGGGTTCGACAACAGCACGATGATCACATTTGTTGGCATGTTCGGAGGCTGCGCGTCAGGGGCCCACTAGAGGCCACCAGGAACCGCCAGTGGCCCTGGGGGGGCCTTGCAATGAACAAGGCTGACCGTGGATGACGTCTCTGTCCCATCTCATGAGATACCCAGGCAGCCTTCACATTCATCACTGCGAATTCCTTCACCACCAGGGACGTTCACTGGGCATTGTCCCTTCCCCCCGCCACCCCATCCGTGCGTCCCAAGACAGCACAAAACAAGTCTCAGTGGTTTGCCTCCGAGACATCTGCACGTCGAGAAATCTCGAGTGGATAATAATAATATAATTTGTATCGCGAACGCCCCCAAGGTGTTGCGTTCACGTGTTAGGGTCACGTCTATTCCATCGTCGAATAGAGAAGAGGAAATATTTGGTGAATCTTTAGGTCGGAAAAAAAAGACAACCTCCATCATATTCCCAATTATTATTTTTTTTAACTCAAATATAAATTGTCTCAATTGTAATACCGTACAATAGTATACGGTACAAACATTCACAGTATTTTTGCAATAACAAAATAGTATTTCATACATGTAAAAATGTACACCAAAACAACCAGCCAATTGCGTCCACGTTTTAATGCAATTAAGGGCTCGTGCCATTAAGAGACCCTTGACATTGAACCCACAACTCGCACACCATGTCAAAGGCGATCGCCAGCCTGATGAACCTCTGAAATGCATGTCATGCTTTTAATGACCAAAAGCGCACAGCACTGCTTTTAGGCCCTCGGGGGAATTTCGTGAAGAAAAAAAATCGTATTATTTGGTTTCTTTCGGTAAAGTCACGTAGGTATAAAATAAAATCAATCACGACGTTTAGGGGGCAACACAAGCGTCCGTCATCCGGTGGGGAATAAAAAAAATCGTGTCGCTTCACCGTGTGATATTGGGGTGGTTTTCACACTGTAAAATTCTGACTTAAAACTTTCGTGACTGCAGGAATTCATATTATTTGGTTCTTTCGATAAAGTCACGTAGATAGAAAAAAAGTGAATAAAATAAAAAATAATCATTAAAAAAAACTTTAAAAAACACTAATGGAGACTGTAGCCTGGCTCTTAATCAGAGTGAGTGTACTGGAAATCTATAATGTAGACTGTAGCCTGGTTATTAAGTTTGGTGAGTGTACTGGTAGTCTATAATGTTGACTTAAGCAATGGGCAAGCTGGGTGGTTGTGTACTGGCAGTCTATAATGTAGACTGTAGCCTGGTTCTTAACCTTTAACCTTGGTGAGTGTATTGGCAGTTTATAATGTAGACTGTAGCCTGGTTTCAAGCTGGTGAGCGTATTGGCAGTGTATAATGTAGACATATTATTGGTTCTTTCAGTAATGAAAATTAAAATAAATTAAAACAAAAACCACGACTTTCGATTGCAAAACAAGCAGTCGTCATCAGGAAAAGGGGGTTAGCCTCGAAAGGCAAACTGTTTATAAAGGTTTAGAGATGGGCGTAGCCCAGACACGAGCAAAGTACGGCCCCCGGGCCGTATACGGCCCGTTGGGCTTTTTAATCCGGCCCGCCGAACTTGTCCAAATATTATTATTAAATTAGATTTTACCTTTCTCCTGTAATGCCCCCATTTCCCCATTAGATGGCGCACTTTGA